TAGACAGGAAGAAGGGGAGAAGACCAGCAGGAGAGTCTGCCACACAGACGTTGGATGGGGATCTTGGCTAAGAATGCCCTGCCTGGTAAACCACCAGGCCCTTCTCTTCAACCCCCAGAGACCCGAAGACTGACCACCGTAGAGAAGGTAATATTTACCTTTTCTGTGGAATTGCAGGTTTCCAGGGACATCAGAAGCTAGGAAGGAGGAAGGGGGTATTCTGACCACACACGACCTTCACTTGCTAATCTCTGCGTTCTCTCCTTCCTGAGGGCCCTGCTCAGAATGGTGAGGGTGGGGAGTGCAGGGCCAGAGGGAAGGGGGAGCCACATGCTGGGAAAGAGTGAAGTCAGAATGCCATCCTACCTGCAGCCCACCTGCTCAGAGACCCGGGTGAAATGCTGAGGCATCTTCCTGCACATTCCACCTCTCCACATGGAGACCATGGGGGCCATGGCCCGACCTGGCTTTCCTTCCAGGCTGGGCCCAGCTTCCTCTGTGAGGTTCCCTGGTTAGGGGGAACCACTCACCCTTCCCACCCAAGCCCTGGACCGCTGGGGCAGGCACCTGTTAATGCACTCATTGGCTGTGAGCTCACATGGCCTTGAAGTAGATCATGAGGTCAGGAGATCAAGACCATCCTGGCCAACATGGTGAAACCCCATTTCTACTAAAAATACAAAAAGTAGTTGAGCATGGTGGTGGGCACCTGTAATCCCAGCTACTCGGGAGGCTGAGGCAGGAGAATCATTTTAACCCAAGATGACACCACCGTACTCCAGCCTGGGCAACAGAGCAAGATTCCATCTCAAAAAAAAAAAAAAAAAAAAAAAAAAAAGATGGCATCTGAGTGAACATATCCCTTTTCCCTGTGATTCTTCCCTCCGTGGGTGGGGTATGGTCTGGGGGAGGGCTCTAGCAGAGGCCTCTGAAGGCTTGCTTCTCAAAAAGTGGTCGGTCCTCAGACCACCAGCACCGGCACCAACTGGGAGTTGGTTAGAACTGCAGACTCTCAGCCTCACACCAGGCCTTCAAAGTAAGGTGTCTTGAGCGGCAGCATCAGACCACCTGGGAACCTGCCATGCTGGGGTGCAGTGGCACAATCATAGCTCCTAGCTCACTGCAACCTCAAACTCCTGGGCTCAAGCGACCCTCCCCTGTCAGCCTCCCGAGTAGCCGGGACCATAGGCACACACCACCATGCCTGGCTAATTAAAAACTTTTTTTTTTTGGTAGAGATTGGGTCTATGTTGCCCAGGCTGATCTTGAACTACCGGGCAATCCTCCTACCTCAGCCTCCCAAATTTCTGGGATTATAGGCTTGAGCCACGATGCCTGGCCAATAGATATATTTTTAGAGATGGGAGTCTCACTATATTGCTCAGGCTGTCCTCAACTCCTAGGCTCAAGCAATCCTCCTGACTCAGCCTCCAAGTAGCTGGGACTACAGGCACACACCATTGCACCCAGCTTCACAGTCTGTATTTTAACAAGTCCTCCTGACACACGCTCAAGGTGAGAACCTTTGGCGTATATGAATCTCTGCTGTGAAACCCAGATCCTGGGCTGTTAGCACCAACCCAAAGGCAGCTGAGAAAGGCAGAAATAAAAAAAGCCCATCCGGCTCCTCTTGCTTCAGCACAGGCAATAACTCTGTGAAGACTCACATGTTTTTTAGTCTAAGAATTACTGTTAGAGCTAGACATCGTCGAGGCACCATACACATTTCTCCGTTTATAGATCTGGGAACTGAGATGGGAAGAGGAGAAAGTATCGGCCCAAAGTGAATGAATACCAAAGTGGAACTAGAATTCAAGTTTCCTGAATCTTAGGTGAGTGAGCTGGTTTCTATTCAACAAATTGGGATATCTTTTTTTTTGAGCCATTATGGCTCACTGAACCTCAACCTCCCTGGCACCAGTGATCCTCCCACCTCAGCCTCCCAAGTTGTTGGAGCTACAGGTGTGGGCCACCACACTTGGCTAATTAAAAAAAAAATTTTTTTTTGTAGAGATGGGGTCTCACTATGTTGCCCAGACTAGTCTTAAATTCTTGGGCTCAAGTGATTCTTCCACCTCAGCCTCCCAAAGCCCTGGGCTAACAGGTGTGAGCCACGGTACCCAGCCTAATATATCTTTTTTAAAAATTGTAGCATTTAGGCCAGGCGTGGTGGTTCATGCCTGTAATCCTAGCACTTTGGGAGGCCGAGGCAGGTGGATCACCTGAGGTCAGGAGTTCAAGACCAGCCTGACCAACATGGAGAAATCCCATCTCTACTTAAAAACAAGACAAAACAAAATTAGCCAGGCATGGGTGCACACCTGTAATCCCAGCTACTCTGGAGGCTGAGACAGGAGAATCACTTGAACCCAGGAGGCAGAGATTGTGGTGAGCCAAGATCACGCCATTGCACTCCAGCCTGGACAACAAGAGCGAAACGTCCTCTCAAAAAAAAAAAAATTGTAGTGTTTATACCTGTTATACATGCTGTGTGAGAAATGCTGTCCTAAGGAATAAATCCTCATTGTAAATAGTCAAGAACACTTGGGGAGAAGTGTGAAGCTGGGGGTGATGGCTTGTCTGCAGACATGCCACGTGGCCCACAGGGACCTGTCTATCCTTGTCACTGCCCTTCCTGCACTGCAGTGTTCTACTATGCCAGCTCAGTGGCTTCTCCAAAAGAGGCCAAGGGCAGGGCTAGTAGGCCGTGTACTTACTTCTTTATACTTCCAGAGCCCTGAGCACAGGGCTGTACACATAGCAGGCCAGCCCACCCCAAACGCTTGTGGGGCCTAGGACAAGAGTACCAACAGAGGGCCACCTACTATGTGGGTTCATATTTAAGTGTGGCAGATCAAGCTAACAGACTATTAAACAGAATGTGTCCTATCCTCCTACTTTGACAAACAAACCTTTATAAAGACTCAGCAGCCTGGACTAGAAGGTGAGGGGAGAACAGGCTTCCCCGCCATAGCCCATCCGCTGTCTTCCCATCCAGGCTGCATCCCATGCTTCAAGGGCCTTGTGCATGTGCAGGTGGACATGGCAGCCTGCTCATCATGCTCAACTACACCTCCTGCAAGAGCTTTGGCCACCTTGGGAGGCAGGATCTAAGGAAGGGGCCCTCCAAACCCTGGAAGCTGGCTCAGGGCTGTTTGGGGTATGAATTCCAGGATTCTGGGTATCTGGAACATGGTGTAAAAAATGGGCTCTGAGGCCAGGAGCAGTGGCTCACGCTTGTAATCCCAACACTTTAGGAGGCCAAGGCAGGTGGATCACAAGGCCAGGAGATCAAGACCATCCTGGCCAACATGGTGAAACCCCATCTCTACTAAAAATACAAAAAGTAGCCGGGCATGGTGGCGGGCACCTGTAGTTCCAGCTACTTGGCAGGTCGAGGTAGGAGAATTACTTGAACCCAGGAGGCAGAAGTTGCAGTGAGCTGAGATCGTGCCACTGAACTCCAGCCTGGGAAACAGAGCAAGACTCTGTCTAAAAAAAAAAAAAAAAAGATGGCCCCTGAGTGAATGCATCCCTTTTCCCTGTGTCCTTCCCTCTATGGATGGGGTGTGGTCTGGGGGAGGGCTCCAGCAGAGGCCTCTGAAGGCTTGCTTCTCAAAGTGTGGTCCCTGGACCACCAGCGCGGGCACCAACTGGGAGTTAGAACTGCAGACTCTCAGCCTCACTCATGCCATGCCTTCTGAACCAGAATCTGCATTTTAACCAGATCCCCAGGCAATTCATGTGCACATCAAGATCTGAAAAGCATTGCTTGAAAGCACAAAACCAAGGACTAGGGTCCCTCTTGCTTAGATCTGGGTATGGTACTGACTGTAGGTATCAGTAAATATTTGCTCAACAAATGGCAAATAGTCCCCACAACAGACCTGGTAGCCAGGGAAGTGCTGGGGAATGGCTGCCTGACTCACAAGGATTTTATTTCCTTTCTCTGGGGCCTCCGTGGCCACGTGTCAGCTATACACCCTGCTTCTGGCCTGTGCTGACTGGCCCAGTAGTAGACACCTGACGCACATTGGGCTAATCAGATGGTCTCTCCCAGGAATTTGGAGACAAGAAAACAGACTCTGGAGTAATGTCAGTAGTGACAATGAACATCTTCCTGCACCCACCGGGTGCCAAGCACTGTGCGGAGTGTTTTGCATCTTGGACTTGATCTTCCCAACCGCCTCACCAGGCCGGTGATTGTACTCTGTGTGTTTTTCAGATGAGGAGCTAAGGTGCCCAAAGGTTATCTTTCCTTTTCCAAAGGTTCAGGGTGGGGAAGTCGCAGCATGAGGCAAGCTGGAGTGACTGCAGCTGAGACTGGGCCATGTGATGCAGAGACAAGGTCTGTCAATTTGGCTATCCAGGTCCCTAGGAATTGCCTGGCTTTGTGATAATTGCGCCAACTTCATGGGAAATGGTCCATGTGCAGTGGTGGGCAAGACCTGGCTCTGGGAGATGGCCACAGTGGGGAGGGTGGCATGGGGGCCAAGTGAAGGGTAGGAGCCATGAGAGGGAGGCAGAGAAAATTCTCCTTCCCGAGGGAGGACAGAGCACTGATCAAGACCAGACAGGCCCACCTACACCTCAGTACATACCAGAGAGCACCCACTGTAGGGTCTCTTGGAGATCAGCTCCCCACGCCTCACCCTCTAGTGAGTTAGCAGCAAGCTTGCCAGAGAAAAGAGGTGGGCAGCTTATTTTGGAGGTATGGGGTAAGGGGCAGCAGAGAAGTTTGCACCCTCCTCTGCACCCATCCCCAGAGGGCAGACACCTCAGAGACAGATGGGGTGGAGGCAGCTGGAATGTGCCAGGACAGCTGAGGCCCTGCAAGGGCCAGAGAACCAGTCCAGGCTGAAGAAGGGCACTGGGAGCCTCACTGACTCGAGGATGAGAGGGGTCCCTGACTGGCTCTGGGAGAATGGAATCTGCCTTTCTGGGTGGAGCAGGTAGGTCTTTGAGAACCTAACAAAACAAAACAAATCAGCAGCAGGAAGTTTCTATCAGGATCCAAGCCTCTGCACGTGGAGGGTTGTTTGGCTTTATTTGAGAAACAAACCAACATCTTTCATTAGCACTGACACAGCAGTGGCCCCCTAGTGCCACCTGACAATCCAGTTACTTACATAGCACTCAAGCAGGCCACACCTTCAATGGCTCACAGCACGCGAGCCTGGAGTAGCCACCAGAAATACACTTCTCACCGCCCAAATCCCCCTTTTGAAAAAAACCAAGCAATCATCAGGTCGGAGGAGAATCACTGGCTCCCTACAGCAAGAGGGGACAAAGCTTGCTGGCAGAGGGCCAGGTCCTTGTGGCCCCTCCCAGTGGGGTGAAGATGACCGGGACTCCTTGGGACTGCATGGCTACAGCCAGGACGCTGCCAGGGCCTCCTCTGCTGCTGAGACATGGAAGGATCCTTCCCGACGCCCACAGGTGGGGGCGAGCCACCAGGAACCAGGCCTGTCATCAGCATCCCTGAGCCCCCGCAGACCGGAATGCAAATAGCTCTGGGCCCACGCCGCTCCCAGTCTGCTGACGAGGGCTGCTTGCTCCCATTTCTTCTCTTCCTTTTTTGTTTTTTTTTAAGGGCTGGCAGTTCTGAAAACTTTTTCTGGCTTCTCAGACAACTGTGGCAAAATGGAGTAGAGACAGGCCCTGTCCAGGCTCTTTCTGTTGCCTCCCGCAGGCGCGGGAATGGGGAGCGGGTGGTCCCCAGGCCCAGTAGGGGCCTCTGGAGTAAGTGGTCCCGGGCCCAGTAGGTGCAGGGCAGCTGGCTCCTCTGACAAGAATGGCGTCTCCCCACGCCCAACCCTTCAGAGGGTCTCAGGAGCCCGCGGCCTGGGTCGCCTCAGGATCCCTTCAGGCTGGGGCGGCTGCTGCTGCCAGGCTTGGGACGTGGGTGCGGGCGGTGGGCACCCATGGAGGTAGGGGAGGCGAGAGCCCGAGGCTGAGCCCAAGAGGAGACTCAGGAGGGGGTTCCGTGGACGCAGCTGGCTCGGGATGGCGCTGGCGCGGCCGCTGTGGGGGACCTGGCAGAGCACACAGAGATGCCCCAAGGCCTGCCTCCCTCCCAGCGCACCGGCGGTCGGAGGGACTGGAGCTCTCGCCCCCAACAAGGTCCCACTGGCGAAGGCTTCTCTCCGAGGAGCTGGGGGCGGGGGGTCCCTGGTGGGTTTCTCCCAGTCGCCCTGGTCCGGCCTCCCTCTCTCCGTCCCTCCCCCGCCAGCAGGGGCCTCTGTCCCACGAGCTGGGTCCGGATGGCGCCCGCGGCTGGGCCTCCTCGGAGGGCCTGGCTGCAGCCTCCGGGTGTAGGTGCCTCAGTGGCCACCGCGTCCCCAGGAGGCCTCGCGCACGGGGGCGCATGGCTGCGGGGAGGAGGCTGGCGGGCCCCTCGGGCGGCGGGAAGCCCGGGCTTAGCGGTTTCCTGGGCAACCAGCCTCCTCCGGCGCGGCCCAGGCGGCTCCAGGTGGCGGGAGGCGGCGGTTGGCGGGAAGGGCCGCGCGGGCACGGGGGCGGCGCCTCAGGTAGCAGCGCCAGGTGGAGCCCGTGGGCGGGGGGGCTCCCAGGGAGGCGCCTGTTCCCGCCCGCGCCGGGCCGGGCCTTTCCGAGATTCCTTCTGGATTCCAGCGGGAAGCAGCCGCGGAAACTCCCCAGGCGGAATTCGCGGCTCCTGGAGCTCTGGGGCGCGGCGGGTCTCCGAGGGCGCGGGCTCTGGCGGGGCGACCGAGCCTCAGAGGGCGGGCGCGAGCAGGCGGGCGGCAAGGACGGGCAACAGCAGCGGGAGCAGGGGCGCCCCGGAGGCCGAGGCCGCTGGGGACGAACGCGGGAGGTCAGGCCCCAAAGCCCGGGCCGCGGTGGCTGCCTGAGGCACCGACCCTAGTGGGAGGGGGCGGCTATCTCTCTGGACTGACCTCGCCCCAGCCTCCCACTTTTCTATTCGATTGCAATGCCTCTTTCCCTTGCTGCCTTTATATTCATTCCTTCCAAAATTCCACCACATGCAGATTTCCGCCTGGTCTCAGATCCTCCCTGCACCGCTGTTTTGAGCGTTTACACTCATCACCCACGTCTGTCTGGGAGACTCGGCCGGGTTCCTGCCCTCCTGGACTGCAGTGTCCCGGGACACCCCACCTGGACTGCTGTGAACGGGGCCTCCACCCGGCTCCCCGGACCCGCAGCATCCCCACCCCCCAACTCCCTCAAGGTTCTGGGGTGAAGGGGTCTGAATGGCACCAGGGAGGCAGCAGGGCGGGCCTGTCCTACCTGCGCCCGAGCACTGCTGAGACAGCATCCCTTCCAGTGCTGCCACATAGTCCAGCCCCAGCCAGTCGCGGTAGGTGGTTTTCTCCCCAACAGGCACCGCCCGGACTGTGGCATCCTTGAAAAGCAGGTCTTGGCCATGATAGTTGGAGGAGTCGAACATTTTGAACCCATTCTTATTGTAGTCATCTCCAAACAGATCCTGGAAGCACCACAAGCAGACCTGCTTCTCACCTGGGCTCATGCAGGGTCACCCGCCCAGGTGCCACTTGCTGCAAATTGCTTTACATACAGCGACCCAAAGAGCAATTCATTTCAGGACCCCACGACTCTGATTGGAAGTTGTAAGCTTGACAACTGATCTGCCTCTATCACCGAAGGGGGCGTGGGGACACAAGGTGCCACTGGAAGAGGGATTCAGAAGCACCGCAGCGCTCCAGCTCCTGGATGCAGGACTGAGTCCTGAGACGTCCAGGAAGAAAGACCCAGAAATGGGGGATGGTGTGGGTGGGATTCCTGAGGGTTCTGCTAGGCCTGCTCAGCATTTCTCGGCCTTTTCCGGAAGGGTTTCTCACTCTAGCTTACAGATTTCCTTCCCACAAACCTAAAGAATTTCGAGAGAGACTTGTGTTCTGCAATCAGTCACAGAATAACAGGTGAGCTGGGCGTGTCTTCACTGACCCTCCGCCCAGGGATGCTGCACCCCTCTCCTGCCTGCTCAAAATCACTGGAATGACCGTTCTGCAGCTACAGCCCTAAAAAAGCTACTAAAGGCCGAGCGCTGTGACTTATGCCTGTAATCCCAGCACTTTGGGAGGCAGAGGAGGGCAGATCATGAGGTCAGGAGTTCGAGACTAGCCTGACCACATGGCGAAACCCCCTCTCTACTAAAAATACAAAAATTAGCCAGGTGTGGTGGCACGTACCTGTAATCCCAGCTACTCAGGAGGCTGAGGCAGGAGAATCGCTTGAACCCAGGAGGCGGAGGTTGCAGGGAGCCAAAATCACACCACTGCACTCCAGCCTGGGCGACAGAGCGAGACTCCATCTTAAATAAAAAAGAAAAAGAAAAAAAAAAAAAAGGCTACTAAAAAGACCAGAAGTAGTACGGGAACGTATGAATACAAATATAAATAAAGGACTTCTGGAGAACATGTATGAATGCCTACATCAAGTGTTAAGTACCGATCAGGGAGGAATAAAGGAACCAAGTGGTTCTCAGCCTTTTTGGAGGGGACTCGCAGATCCTCCTGAAGATCTGATGAAAGCTGTCAGCCTTCTCCCCAGAAAAATGCACATCCACCCAGAATTCTTCTCCCACACTACTTCAGAAGACTTAGCAACCCTCTAGGAAAGCCCAGGGACCCAAAGTAAAGCACTCCTGGGATAGAGGGGCTCTGTGGGGAAGATGAGAGGAACATGCATAATTTCAAAATGCTAAAGTTTAGGAACATGACTGATGAGCCAGCCAGCTCTGCAGTTCTGTGCTGCTGGTGGGTGTGGAGAAGGCAAGTTCAGCTCAAGTCAGTTGGGGGAGGGGGAGTGGTTAGAAACCAGTGGCTCCATTGTCAGACAACCTGTGTTTAAATTCTAGGTGTATTTTGAAGGCACAGCCAATGGGATTTGCTGATGGATTGGATATAAAACATGAGAGGAAGACTGGAGTCAAAGATGACTCCCAGGAAATGGAAAGGCTAAAGTTGCTCTTAACTAAAGAGGGGAAGGCTGAAGGAGGAACGAGAGTCCAACTTTGGACTTGATTTGTTTGAGATGCCTATTGGAATCACAAGTAGAAATGTCAGGTATGTAGTTAAATATGCAAGTTTGGGGCTGAGGTCTGGACTAAAGATGTACATTTAGAAGCCATCTGTATATAGATGGGATTGGATGAGGTCAAGGGTCAGGTCTGGAGAGAGACAGAAGAGGGCTGAGAACTGTATCCTAGGGCTAACAGGTCAGGGAGATGAGGAGGAATCAGCAAAGAAGACTGAGGAGTGGCGAGAGAGGTGAGAGGAGAGCCAGGCAGGGCTGGGGACCTGGGAGCCTGCCAGGGAAGGTGTTTACTGGAAGAGGTAGAGCTGTGGCCAGTGCTGCTGAGAGGTCAAGTAAAATGAAGACTGAGAAATGGCCACTGGTTTTAGCAACATGGGTCACTGTGACCTTGACAAGAACAGCTTCAGGGCCCTATTGGGAACCTGTCTGGGGTAGTCTCCATCCTTAAGAGAGACCAGAGGAGAGGACTATAACTCCAGAGACCACTCTTCGGAGGAGTTTTGCTTTGAAAGGGAGCGGGATTACAGCTCCAAGAGGATGGCTGTGAGACCAAGAGGTTAGTTTGTCCTTTAAGGATGGCAGAAATAACAGCATGTTTCATGTTGGTGAAAATGGTCCATCTGAGAAGGGAAAATCTGAGACAGAGGGGATAGTTTCCTGAGGGATGTCCGTGGGGAAGTGAAAATCACATAATTTTCCCCACGCTTCCTTAGTTTCTCTAGAGGTCTGTTCCAGGTAGACTGAGGCATCCCAGGGGCTTAGCTTACCCCTGCTGCATACCCCTCAGTGAGGCAGCCCCTCCCTGGCTCACCTGGGCCTTGTCCAGCAGTCCATACACAGTGAAGATGTTGGTGTCTGGCCGGACCATGACAGCATGGGGTGGTATCTGTGCCAGGTTGCAGGCTACAAACTGGGACACCTCTGCCCGGGCCCCATTGGGGCACAGCAGTTCGTAGTCTTCTGATCTGAGCTCATCAGCCCAGGGCTCGGAATTGTGGCCTGAGGAGGTAAAGCAGTGTATTTGGAGATGTTCAGGGGAGTGGGGAGAAGTGTAAAGAGAGGCTGCTATTCTGGGTGCCCCAAGTCCTTCACTACAGGGAGGTGGCAACCTCTGGTCAGCACCCAACCCTCTGTTCTCCAAGTGCTCTGCTGTATTGCCAGGGTGAGAGAACCCAGCTGTGTTAATGCCATTAGCAGGAGCTGCCATTAGCAGGGAGGAGGGAGGACCTACTATGTGACCAGCACTTTACAAGCATTGCTTGATCCTCACAACAGTAATGCTGGACAGGTGTTGTCCTCATTTTACAGGTGAGGAAACAGGCTGTCAGTCACTCCCAGGCAGAGAACCCCATCTATGTGTTACATCCTCAAGCCTGAGGGTGGGGTGGCTCCCTAAAGGTGGTGGGTGATTGCCCCTAAAGGCTGAGGTTCTCAAATGGAACAGGGTGTAGCAACACTTGTGGATGTAAAAGGCAGCTTCAGGGGCCCTTGCTTGCAAAGAATCTGCAAAGCTCTCAGATGGGGCTCAGAAATTTGCATGTTAAACCAGCATCCCAGTGATTCTAAAGCAGGTGGTCCCAGGGCTTCCTGAGAAAATGCTGCCCTCAGAATCACATTTTTGTGTCTCTGAGCATTCACTTAGTGTCCATCCTCCTCCCATTTCCAGGAAACCCAGGTGGGCCTCAAGGAGAGCTAAAGATAAAAGGGAAAAGAGCGGAAGGTCCTGGTGGGTGGGTGACTCACTGCAAGGGCATCTTCCAAAGCCTCCCCAGTACCTGCCCTCCGCCCGACCCCATCCCAGACCACACTGTGCACAGGTCTGGGACCAGGCAGGCCCACCGGGCTCATGCAGGAGCACACAGCTCCCTCCTCCTGGGGGAGGGTTCAGGTGTTCTTGGTAGGAGGCTGGGCAGGGAAGCTGGGCTGTGGCAACAGGAAGGGTTCAGGGCCTGGAGCCTTCCCTAGCTCTGCCAGGGCAAATGGTTCTACCACCTTGATGACTTCCTCAGGAGGCAAGATCCAAGTGTTGAAATACTGATGTTTTTTGAGTTTTTTTTCCCCCTGCAAGTCTCGCTTCCCGTTGTCCAATCCCCTCCCCACTGGGCCACAGTTGTGCCTTTCTGGGCTAAGTTTCTAGAAGGAGATGTGTTGGGAGCCAGTGGAGAAGACTGAGCCTCCAGCCTTTGCGGTTTCAAAGCCTGGGGTGTAGGCAGGGTATGCAGAAAATACAAGCCTTTGGTGTTGGAGGAAAATAGCCTCTAGTCTTCAAAACGGATACAGATTCCTTCACGGAGAACAAGAATAGGGGGAAGCGATGCTACATTAGGACCGCATGCTACGATGGGTCCATGTATGCATGGGGATTCCGGAGCAGAGCATTCCTGAGCTCTTTATCCCAGGTGGAGCCTGGGGAGGTGACTCCAGGAAGAAAACTGCCTGTGTGATGCTTCAGGTGTGCTCTGCCTCGGTGTGGCTTGGGGACTGCAGAGAGATTTCCTTGCATGAGGCAGTGATGTGCTCAGAAACACAGACCAGACACTGATTGAACTCATGACCCTGTGGAGAGGCTCATGCCACCCCCACCTCACACCTTGGCACTACATAAATACCCTCAGAAGGGGTCTTTCCAAATGGACTGGGATTGAGTTTCTACCATTTCGATGGATTAAGGACTTGAATTCCAGACCAGTGAAGACTGTCATGTGTCCGGCACCCCTGGATGTATGATCTGAGGTCTGTTCTTACCTGGTGGGGCTCCCAGCTTCCCAGTGGGCTCGGTCTAGACTCAGACTCTCTGAGCTGCTGCCTGGCCCAAACTCAGCACATCTGGTGTCTGGATTGTGCTGAGGATGGGGACAGTCCCCCCGACTTACCTTTAGCCCTGCTCTGGCCCTCACCTACCATTTGTGTTGTCAAAGACAGTCGTGTGCCTGACGAAGGCAACGTCACCGGCATTCTCCACCAGGCACCTGCCACACAGAGGGCAGGGCAGGCGTTGGCAGGAGGGTCCCAACCTCTGCACAGAGCCCCAGACCACCAGGCCACCCTAGTACCTGAAGGCGCCACTGTAGCCATAGTATCGCTCCTGGCTGTTGCCCGCACACTTGTTTCGGCCCTGCTCGTCCCCCACACAAAGCGCACAGAGTGAGGAAGGGTAGTTCTTGGCGTTGTTCACAGGCACGCAGCTAGCATTGAAGAACTCGCTCACCGCTGGGGTGGAGGGGAAGGGCAATGATGAGGGAGGGGCCAGCAGCGGAAAGTGTGGAGGGAGATGGGTGGCCACTCCCCCACAGATCTGCCCACCCGCCTGGGCCTACACTACAAGGCCACCTGTCTGCTCTGCTGCCCTCTTAGCTCTGAGTGGAGTATCTCCTCCTGGAGGATCTCATCAAGGGGAAGATGCAGAGGTTGTCTAGATACAGGAACCCCATCACCAAACATCACCACCCAGCCTTCACTTGAACTCCCTCAGGGACAGGGAACTCACTAGCTCACTATTTTGTTCCAATCAGAGCAACTGTCCAGCTGTCTGGGAGTGGGAGCCAACCCTGGTGCCCTCCGTGTGCCTGTGTCAGTGGTTAGAAAAAAAGTGCTGGTATGTTTTCTGAGTTAACAGCCAGGACAGAGGTGTGTGCCCGTCAGCCCAAGGATCTTGCCAGTTTCCATGGATGTTGTGTGATTTAATACATGGGAAGGGCTTCTGTTCCCACCTTGTGGAGATACCTGGGCACTTATGCAGATGCCTAGCCACCTTCCAACAAGGTCCCCTCCCCAACTAGTTGCCGGTCTCTAGCTAATCCCAGAGAAGGCTTCCCCAGTTTGCGTTCCTAAAAGAGGGATACCTGTGAGGACGTCGCAGTCCTTGGGCCTGATGAAGCCTCTCTGAATGAGGGCGCCCACGGGGATATCCCAGCCCGCAGGGCTGCCAAAGCTGGCGTGGCAGGAGCGCTTGCCTCGAAGCTCATCTAAGGTGAAGGCATGGGAGCTGTCCCGCTTCACCACGGCCACCACGAAGTATGAGTTGCTCTTGTCTTCCGCTGGGGAGAGAAGGACTCACGTGAGGGGCCCCTCATCTGACAGCCCGGGCAAGTGCCTATGGGGTCCTTCCTTCAAACCCTCTCCTTCCTGGCTCTTTGCCTGAGCTGTGCAGGCCAGAGTGCCCAGGCCTGAGGCTGCGGTGCTCCAGGAGCAGGCCCAGTGGGGCCCCTGCCTGCATCCCTTGTGAGAAGCAGCCTCCCGGCTCCACTTTTCAGCTTTGTCTTCCTCTGGTCCTGGCAGTCCTTACCCACAGGGACTTCTTTCTTTCCTCATACCAAGTGGTATTTTTCTCTCTGCCCGGGAGAAAAGACGAGGCTGCAGAAGCATTTTCCCACAGCCCAGAGATTTCTCACACCCAAGTGGAAGGGACCCAGGCCTCTGAGGTCACCAGTAAGAAGACAGAGGCCAAAGCCCCAGCCCAGGCCCCTGAGAAGGTGTGAATGAGCTGAGGGACTCTGAAGGGCTGCCTCCCATGGCTGCTTAGGGCCAGAAGAGGCTGAGGAACCCCAGTAGTCCAAGATGGCAAATCACAGGCCCTCTCTTGTATGGCCTGGATTGTAAGCTAAGAATGTTTTACTATTTTGAAAGCGTTATTTAAAGAGAGACTGTCATCTGCAAAGCCTCAAGTATCTATCCTCTGATCCTTTACAGAAAGTTTACCAACCCCTTAGAGACGTTTGTTGAATAGTTGGGGAAACTGAGGCCTGGGGCAGGAGGGGCAGGCCTGGTGACAGACAGCTTCTATCCCCAGGAGAGAGGCATGGAGCTTTTGAAAATGGCTGAGGAGGACACATTTTTATATTTATAAAAATATCCCCACTTCCCGGTTGAGGCCAGGCAGCAGGCCCTACACTCACAGGCATAGCGCTCCCCGGCCGCAGGAACCAGGCCATACGTCTTCCCCGCCATGTAAATGTCCTCGCTACTCAGCGTCACAGCGTCAATGTGCCCAGCCTGAAGGGGACAGAAGAAGCAACTGGGCTGGGGTGGGCCCTGGATGGTTCTGGATGTTGGGGTCCTATGGAGGTGGCAGGGCCTTGCCTCTTGGGGTTTGTGGCCTTGGGCTTCCTTCCCCTGGGGAACCTGGTAGGAAGTAACCCATCCTGGTGGTCTTGCCCCTTCCTCTCATTGTGAAGTTGCCTGGCCAGGAAAGGTGCCTGAAGGACCAAGGGCAGAAACACCCACACAGCACTCCTGCATGTGACTACCCAGAGTCCCCTGCGTCCCTGCTCTGAGCAAAGCAAGCCAATCCCTCTCCTCATGCTCAGTGTGGGCCTCCCTGTGCACTGCCAGCCCTCAGACAGCCAGGCACCGCATCTCCAGCACCTAGCCAAGGGCCACACACCTTGTGGTGCAATGCCTGTCTGTTAAACGCATGTACAGACGGAAGAATGACCCAGATCTGAAAAGATGGCAGTCTCAGGGCCTGGGGGGAGGCTCCAGGGTTGAGGGATAGAGCTCTGCCTGCAGAGGCAGCAGGAGGGGCCCAGGGTCTTCTTCCCAGGAGACTCCTGGGGCCCTCCAGGTCACCTGCACCCACCCCACTTGTCCATTCGGAAGCCCTAGGACCTCACCAAGGGGCTAACTGGTAATGAAACCATAGTAGTGTGATTAACCTCAAGGGAAGGGGGTGACGATGGGGGAGAGTGGGGAATATCTGTGGCCCAGGAGGGTGTCCCACACCGTTCCTGAAGAGGCATGAAGTGATGGTGATGGAATAACAGGCAGCGGCACTGATATTTGGGGCCAGGAGGGTGCACCTCCTACTGCCCAGACCTCCTCCTACTGTGCTGTCGGGCAGGACACAGACCCTACACCGCAGCCCAGGGCCCTCTGGCTGACGGTCCCTTCCCTGGGTAACTGGCAGGGCAGGAATGGGTATAGAGCCACACTGGACACCTCTCTGAGAACCTTAGAGGCTAGAACTGAGGGTCTTTGAGCCCTTTGCCGGGGTTCTGAGGAGCTCCTGAAGTCTCTTCTCTTCCCGCAGGCCCCTGGGCAGCTCCTGGCCATCTGTGAGCTCAGATTGAGAGGAGGCTGTCACTCAGAGGGGCTGAAAGCTCCCTCCCTGCACCTCTTCCTGCTCTGAGGCTCTTGGAACAACAAGGCAGCCTGCTTGGCACTGGGAAATACGGACTCCCACCAAGCCCTTTCCTCAGTGCCACCAGAGGCTTCTCTGTCAGCATTACACACTCTTGCGCTCAGCTCTGCACAAGGATAAGCTTCCATCGGCCCCTGGGGAAGCTCCTGGAACACCCCCACCTCAGGCCTGGGCGTTCCTTGGCATGAGGCTGGGGTGTTCTCCACTCCTAAGATCCGGAAGTGTGGAGGCAGGGCTGTGGCCTGGCTCAGGCCAAATGGTGTGGGGAAGCCCATTCAGTATATCCTGGCTGGTGGCTGTGGGAAAGTTACTTTCCCAGCCTCTGTCTCTGTAGTTCCAGACCCAAAAGTGGGGCTGCTGAGGGGATTACATGAGATGACCCACACAGTGGCCTTCACTGCGTGGGACACACAGAAGTGTCAGCTTGTGCGATGGTCATTATCATATTGTCACAGGCCTGGTCACCCTGTATTCCTGCCTGGTCTCCTCTCTGTGACCTTCCAGTCAGTGTGGTTCCCTGACCTGGGCAAGGTTAGCACTGCTGAGGGGCTATAGCCTGTGCTTGGGGACCCCCTGAACAGGCCCCACCTACTTGCTCTGAAAACAGAAACTGGGGGGTATGGGCACCCAGGGGCTTACAGCTAGGGCTCTTGCCCAAGGCTGGACATCATGACCACGGCAGTCCTCCTCTCTGACTACAGTGCCTCTGGGGCCTCCTCTGCATTTGGCCTCAGTCTCCAGGCAAAGAAGCAAACAAGGAAAGAGCTGAACGGGCACTAGAGATCAGGCCAGTGTTTCTAGCTGCAGATGGTGAGCTATTCATGGGGCCAAATCGATTTCATGGGTCATGACAAGTGTCAGGAACAAAAAGGATTAGAATAGAATACAATAGAAAATAGCGGGTACTGTCTGTGTCCTATCTCTGTATATACCGGATATATATTTTTTCATTTATTTATATCCGGAAGAAAAGTTTAGCTGGGAGCAGTGGTTCGTGCCTGTAATTCTGGCACTTTGGGAGGCTGAGGCAGGTGGATCACCTGGGTCAGGAGTTCAAGACCAGCCTGGATAACATGGTGAAATCCTGTTTCTACTAAAAATAAAAAAAATTAGCCAGGCATGGTAGCACATGCCTGTAGTCCCAGCTACTCAGGAGGCTGAGGCAGGAGAATTGCTTGAACCCGGGAGGCAGAGGTTGCAGTGATCCAAGATCGTGTCATTGCACTCCAGCTTGGGCAACAAGAACAAAACTCCGTCTCAAAACAAACAAACAAAAAGAGTTTTTGTGTACTAGATCATGATTGGTATAAAATATATTTCCAAGTGCATGGTGTTGTCAAAAATGTTGAACTTCCCCATGAAAATACCAATGACATTCTTAACAGAAGTAGCAAAAACAATCCTAAACTTTGTATGGAACCACAAAAGACCCTGAATAGCCAAAGCAATCCTAAGCAAAAAGAACAAAGATAGAGGCATAGAAGCTGACACACAGACCAATGATACAGAATAGAAACCCCAGAAATTAACCCACATTCTTACAGCCAGCTAATTTTTGACAAAGTTTCCAAGAACACTCATTGGGAAAAGAGTGACCTCTTCTTCAAGGGATGCTGCTGGGAAGGCAGGCCGAATGAACCGGGCCCCCACCCCTCACCCTACACAGGGACCAACTCAAAATGGATCAGGGCCCTAAATGTAGGGTCCAAGACAATAAAACTGCTGAAGAGAATACAGGCAAAACACCTTAGGACGTTGTTCTGGGAAAAGATTTTATGAAAAGACCTTGAAGGCACAGGCAACAAAAGCAATAATAAACAAATAGAATTATATCAAACAAAAAAGTTTCTGCACCGCAAAGAAAACAATAGAGTGAAATGAGAACAACCTCTGGGGGGAATGAGAAAAAATGTTTGCAAACTACTCATCCGACAGAGGATTAATATCCAGAATATACATGCAATGGAAACGTCTCAACAGCAGAAACCATCCAACTTAAAAATGGGCAAATGACAGGAACAGACGTTTCTCAAAAGGCATAAAATGCCAGCAGGCATCACTAATCATCAGGGAAATGCAAATCAAAGCCACAATGAGGTATCAGCTCACCCCAGTTAGGGTGTCTGTTATCAAAAAGATAAAAAATAACAAATGCTAGTGAGGATGCAGAGTAAAGGAAACTCTTACACGCTGTTGGTGGGAACATAAAACTGTACAGCCACTATAGAAAACAGTATGGACATCCCTCCACAAACTACAAATCTCTCTGTTCAATACCATATGGTCCAGTGATCCCACCAATGGGAAGTTGTCCAAAGGAAAGGAAATCAGCCTATGGAAAGGGATGTCTGCACCCCCACGTTCATTGCAGCACTGGTCACAGTAGCAAGGATATGGAATCAACTCAGGTGTCCAACAACAGAGGGATGGATAAAGAAAATGTGGTATATGTGCACCATGGAATACTGTTTAGCCATAAAAAAGAATGAAATCCTGTCATTGGCAGCAACATGGATGGAACTGGAGGACATTGTGTTATGTGCAATAAGCCAGGCACAGAAAGTTAAACACCATATGTTCCACTCATGTGTGGAAGCTAAAAAAAGTTGATCTCGGCCAGTCGCAGTGGCTCATGCCTGTAATCCCAGCACTTTGGGAGGCTGAGATGGGTGGATTATGAGGTCAGAAGTTCAAGACCAGCCTAGCCAACATAGTAAAACCTGTCTCTAATAAAAATACAAAAATTAGCTGGGCATGGTGGCACATGCCTGTAATCCCAGCTACTTGGGAGGCTGAGGCAGGAGAATTGCTTGAAATCCGGAGGTGGAGGTTGCAGTGAGCTGAGATCACGCCACTGCACTCCCGCCTAGGTGACAGAGTGAGACACCTTCTCAAAAAAAAAAAAAAAAAAAAAAGTTGATCTCACAGAAATGAAAAGTAAAACAGAGGATACTGGAGACTGGGAAGGGTGGGGGAAGGGAGAAATAGGGAGAGTTTTTTGTTTGTTTGTTTGAGACAGAGTCTTACTCTGTCACCCAGGCTGGAGTACAATGGCATGATCTCGGCTCACTGTAATCTCCGCCTCCTGGGTCCAAGGGAGTCTCCTGCCTCAGCCTCCCGAGTAGCTGGGATTACAGGCATGTGCCACCATGCCCAGCTAATTTTTTGTACTTTTAGTAGAAATGGGGTTTCACCACATTGGCCGGGCTGGTCTTGAACTTCTGACCTCAAGTGATCCACCTGCCTTGGCCTCCCAAAGTGCTGGGATTACAGGCGTGAACCACTGTACCTGGCTGGAAGAGATGTGTTAAGGATATAAAAATAAGAGCTGGGAGGAATAAGTTCCAGTGCTCTATAGCATTGTAGGATGACGAGAGTTAACCCTAATACATAGTTTCAAATAGGTCGGAAGATACGGCATTTTCTCAACACAGAGAAATGAGCAATGTTTGAGATGATGGTATGCTAATTATTATTCTGCCCTGATCACCATGTATTCTATGTATCAAAACATCACTATGTATCTCGTGAATATGCACAACTATTATTTGTCTATTAGAAAAATTAGGAAAAGAGAAAAAAATGCTGAACAAGAATCCATACCCACCCTCTATTGTACAAGGGAAAGCTGAGATTTAGAAAGGGGAGGGGGCTTGCCCCAGGCTCCAGGGTATCAGTGCCCAGCTGGGCCAGCACTCCTTCTTCTCCCTGCCCACCTGCTCAACACGGAGCTCCCAGGCGCCCCAGGGGACATACCCCTATCTGCCTGTTCCCTGGGGTGGGTTGCTGGTCCCTGCGGGTTGTTCCTCCCCACCTTCCTCCCAAGCCTGTGGGTTTGTTGCAGAGACAGTCTTCTCTTCCCCAGGCAGCAGGGGGCGTAGGTAGGGAGAACTACCCAGGCACTGCCACCATCTGCCCACCTGGCCCACGCTGCCCCTCCCTGGGCAGGCCAGACCCCCACCTGGATCTGCTCCATGCAGTGCTGGGGGGACTCAGCTGACACGCACTGGATCTCCGGCCTGAGCTGCTGCCGGCTGAAGGCCACAGCCATGTCTCCACACTTCTGGATCTCGGGAGTGGAGAGCACACACCAGCGCAGGTAGGGGGGCAGCCCTGGTGTGGGGCAAGCCAGCGGTCACTGCCAGGCCAGTACCGCCAGGGAAAGAGCTTGGAGTCAGACCCAAGGGAAATTCTGGGCCTTTCTCCTGTCAGCTGTGTGGCTGGGATAGTTATTTAACCATCAGATCCTGCTTCCTCATACAGAAAAGGGGCAACCGTACCTCTTACATCGGGCTGTGAGGCCTGAGGAAGACCATGGCTGTCATATATCTAACTCAGTGTCTGGCACCCATTTCCCTGGCTATAGGTGAAGATACATGGGGTGCGGGCTAACGGCAAGAAGCTGACTTGTAGATTATTGCAATAGTCCAGGCAGAAGACAATGCCTGAGCCAGGGCTGTAACCATGGGGTGGGGACGGGGAGAAGCAGTGAGAGGTTGAAGAAGAACTGACAGGACACCCTGGCTCCTGGATAGAGGGGCGAGGAGACCCTTCTCAAGACAGATTCTGATGGCCTGGATCCCACCCCGCTGCGGCCAGGTGGGGCTTCTGAAACAGGCCATGCAGCTAAAGAGATGCTTCTTCCTCAAAGCCCCAGAGGTAGACAGATTGAGGTGACAGGTTCCCGCACAGGCTGAGAGGCACATCCCAGGCCTCCCGGGTGAGCATCTTCCCCTGGCCACTTTCCTAGAGAGCCTCGCCATGCCTACGGTCAAGCTGGGCTGGAGCTGGCAGCAGTCAGGACAGATGAACTTACGGTTGGGGTCACAGAGCAGACCCTTCATGGCGTGCAGGTACTCGTGGCCCAGCCACGCCTCGTAGGTCTGTGTGGCAATGGGCACAAGCTCAGAGGTGGAGTCCTTGAACATCAAATTCTTCTGGCCATAGGCATCAGAGTTGAACATCTGGAAGCTGCTGCCCTCGTGGCTGAACAGACGCTGTGTGTCAAGGGGTGGGGTATAGGGTGGTGAGGGTGCTGACAGGCCACATCCTTTCCTCCCATTTCAGCCACCACCTCCTTTTCCCCTGACCTCACACTAGGCACCCACTCTGAGGACCAGGGGAGGCCTCTCTCCCTCTTCTGCAGCATCTCCCCCAATCCGCCATCCCCTTCCCCTGGGCCCTGCCAGTTCTGGGTCTGCGCGGAGTTCATTCAGCATCATCACATTCAGCTGTTTGGACACATAACTGTGGCCAGGGGTGGGAGGGCCCTGAGGACATGCCATGGGGCTGGCAATAGCAGCCTGGATGGGGCAAAACTGAGTCCGGGACAGCAGCAGTTAGAAATATATGGCTGTCCTAAGCAGTGGTTTTAGCAAAACCTTATTCACCACATTTAGTTAATGGTGTGCTTTGAAAGGCATTGGTTTTGTCAGTTTTGCTCGTTATGTTCTGGTTTTGGCTCGTAGAGACACAAGTACCAGGAGCTTCCTCTGAGGGTGCCTAAGTCTCTCGGTCCCCCTCTCGTGGCCAGCCCTCCTCCCAGTCAGCCAGAGCAGTTGGTTCCTTACACTGACCTGACCCGAGGCTGGGGTCCATCCCAAGGACAGTCTCTGGGTCCTGCCCCTCCTGGTCCCACCCTGATGAGCAACCACAAGGCCCAGCACCACCTGGGAAGCTGTGCAAGGGGACCAGGGGACCCTGAGCCCACCTGGCCTTCATTGAGCAGCCGGAAGATGAGGCCCCCATCTGTGTCAGCCCGGACTACCACGGCGTGAGCAGGCACCCGGGCCAGGTGGCACTGCCTCCACTCAGTGACGTCGGCCCAGCTGCCATCCCGGCACAGCAGCTTGAAGTCCTGTGACAGCAGGGCCTGGCCCCAGGAGGGCAGTGTCTTCCCTGGGAAGAAGGAAGCCTGGGCTGAGCCAGCTCCTAAAGGGGTTGTGGTGGGTGGCGGGGAAGGCGTAGGACAGGAATTCTGGGGGATGGCTGGGTGTCGTGGACACGAGAACCCAGCACTCAGGAGGTGACAGAGCTCAGCAGCCGCACCCAACTCCAGGTATCTACAAGACTCTATCTCATTCCTCCCATTTTCTAGCTCTCACCAATTTCTATTGCTAAAATGGATTGGAGGTATCTGACAGTAATACAATACTTAGAAATAGGACTATCTCTTCAAGATAAAAAGAGTAAGAAAATAAAGGCTTTGGATGAGAGAGACAAATGTACCAAGAGTCTAGGATGGCTCAAGGCTGCCATGGGGCAGTACCTTTGGCTCTGAGCAGTGGGCACGGGTCAGGGCTCAGGGGGCAGGGGCCATGGTGGAAACGCACCCCGCCAGAAAGGGGAACTCCCTAACTCCAGCTATTCATATTTGGATGGATTTCTTTCAAGTCCTTTTTCTATTTTATTTCCTGTCTTTTGCCCACTTTTAACCTGGTTAAGGACATAGTCGACAGGCAATTCTCATCCTACTTGGTAGAGAATTTTTCCACAGTACTGAAAACTTTCCATAAACTCACTTATTTCTCAACAGAAAAGAAAACTTGAAAGAGTAACTATTAACACCAAATAGGGATTCTGAGAAGATGAATATTAAGGACTATAATTAAACCACAGATGGTCCTACATAACAATATTTTTGTGACTTTAAGACAAGGAGGGAAAAAAACCTCTACATGGAAATAGGCAGGAAAAGATCATTTGTACTGTCACGAAAGCTTTCCCTGCAAAGCTATTATCAAACAAAACCCAAAACCCGCAACGGAGTAATAGTTTGGAAAAACTCCATGAAGGTCATTTTTAATGGCCACATGGTACTTTACAGCACTCTTAATTATTCAGTGCGACTCTCCCCACGCTTCCCAATTTTCCTCTGTTTTTAGGCTGCTGCAAAACAGAGGTTAGATCTCTGGGGTATCATTTGCCTTCACACAGACAAATGCATCATTTAGGTACTTCCATCAGCCACTCCCACTTCTCATCAGCCAAGAACAATGACAGTCACTTATGCCAATTCTACTCTTTTGCGCTTATCAATCTTTTTGTATAAAGTTAATTAAAAATTACTTCCTTAGATTTCCTTAGACTACCATCAAAACTTTGAGGCCAGGTGCAGTGGCTCACTTGACAGGACACCATGGCTTCCAGCACTTTGGGAGGTCGAGGTGGGCAGATCATGAGGTCAGAAGTTCAAGACCAGCCTGGCCAACATAGTGAAACCCCGTTTCTACTAAAAGTACAAAAAAACCCCAAAATACCAAAAAACAAAATAGCCAGGCATGGTGGTGGGTGCCTGTAGTCTCAGCTACTTGGGAGGCTAGGCAGGAGAATCGCTTGAACCTGGGAGGCAGAGGTTCAGTGAGCCGAGATCGTGCCACTGCACTCCAGCTTGGGCGACACAGCAAGACTCTGTCTGAAAAATACTACTACTAATAAAAGGCTGGGCGCAGTGGCTCACGCCTGTAATCCCAGCACTTTGGAAGGCTGAGGTGGGTGGATCACAAGGTCAAGAGATCGATACCATCCTGGCCAATATGGTGAAACCCCATCTCTACTAAAAATACAAAAATTAGCTGGACTTGGTGACGCACACCAGCTACTTGGGAGGCTGAGGCAGGAGAATCACTTGAACCTGGGAGGTGGAGGTTGCAGTGAGCACAGATAGCGCCATTGCACTCCAGCCTTGAGACAGAGCGAGACTCTATCTCATTTAAAACAAAAACAACTTTGGGGGTCCAAAGTGGCTCCAGCCGGATGTCGTGGCGCTTGCGAAGGCGAGGTCGTGAGTTCAAGGCTCACACTGATTGGCAAAAAAAGAAAAGAAAAACAACTTTGAAAAAGCTTCCAGATGCATGCCTGTAATCCCAGCTCCTCAGGAGGCTGAGAAGCGAGGATCAATTGAGGCAGGGGGTTTGAGACCAGCCTGGGCAACAAAGTGAGATCCCATCTTAAAAAAAACCCCAAGTTTGAAAAAGCTGATTCATATTCCTATTCTTTTCCCATCTTCCAAATTCTCCTTTGTCTGACTCATCTTGGGGTCTGTGAACAGGGGCCCCTTTTCATAGGACCGCCCAGTAGCACACATCATCCTACATGCTTTGGTGTGTGCAGATTACTTGTTTTCCTCCTCAGATCTGGTCCATGTTTGCCTTCATGATGGACCACGTGATGGACTTTCTGATTTAAAAGGCAATGATCAATAACAGCGAAAAAAGACAATGACTTTTTTGTTTTAAAGCCAATCATCAGACATTCTGGCAGAGGCAAAACTACAGACAGAACAGTCTGTTTGCTGCTTGCTGGCAGGTGGCGGGGTTTTAACGAACAGGGGTCTGAGGAACTTCTGGGCTGAAGGGTCTGCAAGATCTTGATTGTGGTGGTGGTTATACAACCGTATGTATTTGGCAAAACTCACAGAACTATACTTCAAAAGGAACAAATTTTGCTGCATGTAAATTATATCTCAATTTAAAAAAAGAAACAATCTTCAGGCAAATCTAAATTGAGGGACATTCTATAAAATAACTGGCCTGTTGCTTCAAAATGCCAATGTCATAAAAAACAAAGACTGAGAAATTGTTCCAAGATAAAGGAAACTCAAGAGATCTCACATCGGAAGCCATGTGTGATGAGAGTGTAGGTTCTGGTCGGAAAAAAAGGCTATGGAGGACACACTGGGACAGTCAGCAAATCTGCAATATCGACTGTAGATTAGGTAACAGGATTGTATCAAAGTTGCATCTCCTGATTTTGATTACTGTGGCTAGGTATACACCTCCTTGTCTCAGGAGATACATACTGAAGTATTCAAGGGGTATGACATAGGCAAATGTGCTCTCAGATGGGTCAGAACACACACACGCATACACAAACACACATACACACACATACATGCACACACATACACATATATGCACATACATGCACACACGTACATACATACATGCATACACACATACACACACGTACATATACACACACACACACATACATATACACACACACACACTTATACATCAAATGTGGAAAAATGCTAATTAGTCAGAATTTGAGTGAAGAATAGTTGGGAGTTCTTTGAATTATTCTTGTAACTTTCCAAAGCTCAATTCTTTCAAAATTAAAAAAACTTAAATGCCAATGACATGATGGCTCAATATATAACACCAACCTATATCTTAAGCCAGACCTTCTCAGGGATGAGGGACTGATTCTCCAGGCAAGAGCAGAAAAATGCCAGGAAGGGCTGGTAGGGGAGATCCAGTGCAGAGGTTTGCAAATTCTTTTAAAAATCAGACCCCCGTCTTCGTGAAACTGAACCCAATGTCATATTCAAATTAGAGCAGAGCAGAGCTAGCCACTAGCCCCCTTCTCCTGCCCTGTCAGCAGTCCATTGTCCATTGGTAAGACTGGCCTCTGCTCTTTTGCAGCCAGGAGTGCTGAGGTTCAGAGATGGAGGAACTTGTCCACGGTCACCCAGAAACTCAGAGCAGCACTGAACTAGGGCATTTGATCCCAACCCTGCCATCTGGGGGTCCTGCCCTAGGCAGGCCTGGCCTGACACCCTGCTCCTTCGGCCCATGCCCCTCCCTGCCCTACTCACCATCAGTGTTCTCCAGCACCGTGCTGTGCTTCACAAACGCCACATCCCCCGCCCCTTCTGCCAGGCACCTGCGGAGGAGAAGCTGTGAGCCTGGATGGGGCTGAGCCCCTGGCCCCTGCCCGTCTTCCACCTCTGGAGGCCTGGCTTGGGCAGGAAGGGGTGGCCATGGTGTGCATGGGTTTTCCAGTCATGTAGTCTGGCGTCCAGATCCCTGGCTGGTTGGCTGTGTGGCTTTGTCAAATTGTGGCCCCTTCCTAGCCCCTATCACCTGTGAAGTGGGGGTGGGAAAGCAGCTCCCATAGGGCTGCCCTGAGGATGAGACGTTCTTTATAATCCAGTATAGACCCTCTGCAGCCTAGCTCAGGCCTGTATAGAGCAGGTACTCCCATGGCAGCTGCTATTATATTGGTAGCCTCCACTCTCGGGGGTTGGTTTTGTATGTGTTTGTTTTCGTTGTTTTGGTTTTAGAGATAGGGTCTCGCTGTGTTGCCCAGGCTGGAGTGCAGTGGCGCAATCACTGCTCACTGCAGCTTTGACCTCTTGGGCTCAAGTGATCATCCTGCCTCTGCCTCCAAAGTAGGTGGGACGACAGGTGTGTACCACCATGCTGGGCTAATTTTCAGGGTGTTTTGAAGCACATTCTGCTCTGAGGCAGGGGATTGGACTAGAAGGCCTTTTCATGCCGTACCACAGAACCCTGAGTGGGAACGACCATTGACTTTTACGTGCTCTCTTGATGTCACTGCCCAGTGTTGGAGGCAGGTTGGCTCTGGGCAAAGGGGCTGCTTGGGTCCCCACACACTGAAAATATGAAGGGATTAGAGCAGGTCAGGGAGAGGGCTCTGAGGCTCCAGGAGAGTCAGAGAGAAGGGGCGCATGCCAAGGGCATGGGGCAGTGGAGGGGCAAGGGTCTTCCACTCAGAGGTGCTGAGGAGTGCTTTTCTCTCTAAGCCAAACACTGCATCCACTCAGATCACATCTGGAGCGTGGGGCACCAGCAGGCTTCCCCGCTGCAGGTGGAAACGTGAGGTAGCTAGAGGGGCCCGAGATGCTTCCTTTCCAGTCCTGGGGAGAACGGTTCCTCCTCTGCAGGCAGATGGAATTGGAGCACGAGCTGGTAGAGACTCCCTTCTGTATCCACTTAAGGATTACCCAAAGTGCCAGCCTCAACCAGTGGCAGAGACAGCCCGTCCCCAAGTGTCAAGACACACTCCCCCACCCCCTCTCCCTGCTGGTCTGAGAATGGGGACGTGGGAGTGTCCAAAAGGCTGTTTTTTCCATTTTCTTCTCTCTGAGCCGTCACTTCACTAAATATACCAAACATGTTGATTTCATGAGCAAATCCAGTTTGGCATATTCCAGCTGGATGTTTTTAAACTAACCAGGCCACAGAGCTATATAAAGGGTGCTTTGATGAGATGCAGCCAACCCCACCACTTCCTCCTCCACGGCCCTCTCTGGGCAAAGGTGTTTTCCCCAGCATCTGTGGCCTTAAGCGCCTCCGCCTGGCCTGTGGGACTCAGTTCCTCCCTGCCTGCCGCCCCTCCCCGCCCCCAACTTTCACTCACCGGAAGGCCCCGCTGTAGTCATAGTATCGCTCCAGGGGGCTCTTGTCACACACACCTTCCCCAGAGCTGTCTCCCCTGCAGAGGCGACACAGGGACTCAGAGTAACCGGTGTCTCCTGCCCCAGGGACGCAGCTGCCCCCAAAGTAGTTGCTGACAGCTGTGGGAAGGAGGTAGAGATCACTTAGCAGAACTTTCTTCAGAGCAAGCCAAGCCCCAGGGTCAGCAGGGGGCCTGGGCCCTGCAGGGTCTCATCTGGACTCTGCTGAGAACGGTTCCATTTTCTAGCTTCAGTCTGAGCAAAACTGGGGAGCTGGACCCGACCGGTAACTCCCAAAGCAGGTTCACCAAAGCTGCAGTGAGCACTGGAGAGGGCTACTTAGAAGTGGCTTGGAGGAATAAAAAATTACTCATAAATGACCACTCAGGGTAACTAAGTAACAACTAGATGCTCTTCTCATTGTAGGTTTCACTTCCAAATCAGCGAAGTGTGATTAATGACAGAGGGGAGGCTGGGCATGGTGGCTCACGCCTATAATTCCAGCACTTTGGGAGGCCAAGGCGGGTGGATCACCTGAGGTCAGGTGTTCAAGACTGGCCTGGCCGTCTCTACTAAAAATACAAAAATTAGCCAGGCGTGGTGGCGTACTCCTGTAATCCCAGCTACTTGGGAGGCTGAGGCAGGAGAATAGTTTGAACCTAGGAGGCAGAGGTTGCAGTGAGCCGAGATCACTCCATTGCACTCCAGCCTGAGAGACAGAGCTAGACTCTGTCTCAAAAAAAAAAGACAGAGGGGAAATAAAGAATTACTTAAGGAGGATCATTCATTGAAAGACAACATTTCTTCCAGCACATGGAGGGAGGCACACGCAGCAGTGGCCTGCCTCATAGGGAACGAGGTCAGGGTCTGCTGTCCTGCATGGTTCTTCAGGCTCTGCCGGCACCAAAACTCACAAATATTGATCCTGTGCTGTGCCAGGAGGCCCTCCTGCCGGCATCTGAGCCAGCTGGGCCACGCTCCTCACCAGCCAGACTGAGCTTTTCCAGAGTAAGCCCTCTTCCTGGTCTTTTTGTGTCCTCCCAGAGGAGTGGATATTTAATAAATATGCCAAGTGACTGACGAGCCACCCACACCTGGCCACCAGCTGAGAGGATAAGGCTTCCAGGCTCTTGGGGGTGGTGTGGGTTTACACGGCTGGTTGGGCTGATGAGCCATTTGGGAGTTTTCTGGGTGCAATTCAGGGCCTTGCTTGGGTCCTGAAAAAATAGCATTTCTGGTCCTGTAAAGCTGAGGACACGCTTCTAGACAATGGCCTGTGCCGGGTTTATGCCGGCGGAAGGCTCCCTTGGAGGTTCGCTGCCTCCCATTCATGGGTTGGGCCTGTGCCTGGCTATGTCGTCTGGGACACCACCATGGGTGAGCAACAGTTGTGCCCCACAGGGGCCAAGCAAGCAGGAAGTCAAGTGGTGGCGCACAGGGCTGGCGGAGTGGGGAGGCCCAGAGGAGGGGGGTGGCTGTGCCCTCCAGGGATGAAGGATGCGGTGAGGCCAGAGGGAGGCTACCCAGTGAAGGGACAAGCATGGGCCGAGGAAAGGAGAGGGGAGGCCTGGGCACCCTCCTGCCCAGCCCAAAGCCCTCACCTTTGAGTACGTCGCAGCCCATCACTGAGAGGCGGCCGCTCTCCACCAGGTAGCCCACAGGCACGTTCCAGCCCACTGTCCGATTGATGCCTGTGTGGCAGGACTTCACACCTTTCAGGGTGTTGATGGTCACATGGGAGCTCCTCTTGACCACAGCCACGGCGTAATAGGAGGTACCAACCTCTAGGAGGGGAGGGGAGCCAGTGAGGGCAGCAGGGAGAAGCCTCAGTGAGGCTGCACCAGCACCCTGCCCGGGACAGCTGTGGGAGAGTGTGTGTGTGCATGGGCGTGCATGTGGACGTATGCATAGCGCTCTAGTTACAAGAGAGCAAGTGGGTTTAATCCACACGTATGCGAGACCCTGCCCTCCAGCCTCTTGAGGTAGATACAGTCCTGAGATGTTGATGTATTCATTGATTCCCACTTTTCCTTCTCAAGCAGCTGGTGCTTAGCTGGGTCCACATTTGCTCCATCAGGGGAGTTCTTTAGCTGGACTGAAGGCAGAATACGCCAGCAAGTCTTCGCTTTCCAAAAGCCTAGGCCCCCAGAACTTGGAGGGTTTGGGGGAAAGGTGTCAGGGTAATGGGAAGAAGAGTGGCTGGGAGGAGCAGGGGAGGGGCTTCCAGATTAGGAGAGGCAATTTCCTGGTGCTGAGGGGGTTGGAGGAGAGTGAGACAGAGGCAGAGACAGACAGACAGAGAGAACGAGCAATGTGGTCCCCAGTCACTGATGACCCTGAATGGCTGCAGGGTGTGTGTGGTAGGACAGGGCTCTGCAGCCTTGCAGAACATTCCCCTGTGCCACGGTGGTTCCAAGGGGCCATTCAGGTGAAACATAGATGACTCAGTTACAGTAACTGATGACCAGAGGGCCTCCCATCACATGAGCACATACACACAAGCATGCACGCCGCACGAACTGCCCCATGGTGCAGGAGGCCATGATCAGAACGAAGTTGAGTTCTAGGACATAAAGCCAGTGTTACTTCCTGCACACCAGGGTCTGGCCCCAGCCAGATGGTAGCTTTGTCTGGTACCATCCTCTGACTCACCCACCCTCTGTTCCTTTCTAATTCCTTGAATTTCCTGAGATGGTTTCAGGCTCAGCTTACCCATCACCTCCCCAGAGCACCGTCTTGCCTGCTCTTTTCCCGTGGGTTTTCCTGCAGCCCTCGTTTTCTCTGTCCTGCCCTTTCCTTTCCCTCACAGCACCCACCACATGCTTCACTGTATTGTTTGGGTTGGTTTGTTTACTCTGCTGTGTGAGGGCAGGAAGGAGGTCTCTGTTTACTGTTCCATGGTCCTGAGCAGTGGGTAGCAGGTGCTCAGTACAGGTGTGGAGTTAATTAAAGAGGAAGAGCTGCATGGGGCCTGGGAGGCAGGGCTGTTTCTGACTGACTGGTATGCAGGATTGGACTGTGCCATGTGGCATTTGACAATCACTAATTCAACAAGGAACCAGCCAGTGCCTTCTCCAAGTGAGGTGCTGTGTGAAGTTGCAGAGGGTAGACACGGGGGAGGACTGGCCCTCCTCAGGGGACTAACGTGACTGAGCAGGCAGAGGCTTACAGAGGCCATGGGGGTACAGGAAAGAGAGGTTCTGCTCAAGGGTGGGAGGGGCTCAGGGAGCACCTCAGAGGAGGTGACAGTTGCGCCGGCCAAGCAGAGGTGGTGGGGGAGACACAGAAGCAGGCTGAGCTGGGGTCAGGTCCTGTGTGTGATTTGGGGACTGGGCCAAGGAACTCACACTTTCCAGCACGTACCACATGTCAGGTGGGCACACGGCCTGGCTCATTTAATGTGACAGGGCAGCTGTTATTATCCCCATTTTACAGCCCAGTAAGTGAGGTTGTCCAGGGTGACAGAGGTCATGGGAAGGAGAAGCGCTGGGTCTGCTGAGCTGTGCAGTTCCCAGGCAGCACCTCCTGACCTGGGGCTATGCTTCCGACATGGAGGCCCTAAGCATGCAGGTGGCCCAGCCCCAAGGACGCTTTGTTCACCTGAGGCAGCTACATGAACAGCACCAGGCCCAGCACTGCACCAGGCACAGGGGAGCCCTCAGTAAGAACTGAGTGGGCAAAGGCTAGGGTGTGCTGCTGCTCTCCCTGAGGGAAGAGCAGACTTGGGTCCTCTCTCCATGTCCCTGGAGCTCCTGCCCCTGGGGAATTTGAGAGAGACTTAGGGTGCCCTCAGGGCATTTGTCTGGGTGGGACTCCAGGACTGCTGTGTGGACAGGGCTGATGACCAGCTCAGGGCTGCAGGGTCAGGCCTGGACCAGCAAGGGCCTCCTGGAGGGCTGACTTCCAGCGCAGGCCTTCCTCTGTCCTCCCACTGCACCCTCCTACCTTGATCGTACACTTCGCCCACCACGGGCTTCAGGCCATGCTCCTTTCCCGCCTCATAGATGGCTCCTCCATCCAGAGTGATGGCGTCAGCCTCCTGGGCCTGCAAGGAAATGTGGCTCAGCCAAACCTGTCCCAGCCAGCACACTCAGCAGGGAACTCGGGACACCTACCAGATGGCCTAGGGCCCCACCCCGAGCCCTGAGGGCTGTGCTGTCCTTCTCATCTGGCCCAGGAGCCCAACCAGGGCCCAGGGCTTTCCCCATTTCCCAGGCCAAGGATTCACCTTGCTTTCCTAGTAATGTTATTTTAAAAATATTAATCATTGACTTTGCAGGACTCAGATATCATATTTAAAAAATCAAATAGTAGAAAACAGCATGCAGTTAAATGTGAGTCTCCCTCGCTTTCTTTCCCCCTGCCCCCACCTCTACTGTTACCCTGGGTTTTCTAGCTTTTTTCTTCTAAGATGGTCTATGTGTGGGGTTTCTGCCCTCACATGGAACCTGACCCACAGCCTTGGCCCTGTGTGGGCCTATGACTGGATCAGGTCTTGGGGCATAGTGGGGGCAGGGCTGGAATGAAAACCCAGCTATCTGTGTGCCTGCCCCAGAGGCACGCCCCTCTCTTGTGGTGCCTCTGAAGACTGTCAGTGTCATTTAGCAGGTATCCTGCTTCTCAGAGCTGCTTTCCTACCCCATACTCACCCACCTGGGAGTCCAGCCCCTGCTCTTCCTTCCCCAGAAACCACACAAGCCCCCTTCTGGAAAGCCCCATGGCAAAGTGAGCAAGTAGCCACCTGGGGCCACTGAGGGGTCACTACCATCTGGAGGCCCCTTGGCAGGAGACTTGTGGAAGAGAAGCCTCTCAGACACCTTTCCTTGCTGGCGCCCCTCTGAGCAGCGGCACTCCTGAGGCTCCCACCTTCTGGGCCCAGCCGGAGACAAGCTGGCCTTGTTGCTGGGGAGACTCGGGAGATCCTATCGGCTGGGCCTGGCTGGGCCTGGCAGGGTGAGGTCGGCCCCTTTCCTGGTGAATGAGGCTGTTATGTGCTCCCTCCTGAGTCAGAGCCCTTCTGTCTGGCAGGGCGGAAGGGAGAGGACTCACCGCGATGAGCTGGATGCAGTGGTTGGCCGAGGTGCCCTGGACGCAGAAGAGGGAGGGCTGGATGCCTGCTTCCCTGAAGGCCTTGCTCATGTCGCTGCACTTCTGCTGCTCTGGGTCCGAGATAGTGCACCACCGCACCTCCATGCCACCAAGCACTGCGGGCAGGGGACTGTGAGGCCTGGCTCCCCCGCCAGGCCCAGCCCGGGCCCACCATGGAGGGTGGCTCCAGAAGCTCTGTGTGGGCCCCTTGGCCTGGAGAGCCGGTCCTCTAGAGCAGCCCTGCCCTCCCACAGGGAGGCACCAAGCACAGAGACTGGGAAACGGCTGTTCCTGTGCTCAGGGCCTCTTTGACCAGGGGCATGGCTGCTGGCAAATGGAATGGCTCAGAACCAGGCCGTTTACAGAGGACTGGGAGGGTCTGCAGGTTGCTTCTCAGCTTGCCCCACCTGGCAGGAGCACTGGCTGGGGAGCCTCGGCAGGCTCCGGAAATGGAAGCTCCTTCCCCTCTCCAGGCCTCCCAGAGGGGGTGCCCGTGTGGGTTCCGTCACACAGCAGTGTCCCTGGGCCTTCCTCATGACTGGGTCATGAAAATGAGGTGAGGGGGCTGTGGGTGGGCTACTCTCCATGAGCCCTGCACCCTCAGGGAGCATCTGCGATTGTGCTGGCTGCAAACCCATCTTTGGAGGGCACAGTGCCAGGCCCTGCCAAGGGAAGGCGGCAGAGGGGAGGCTGAGGAACCATCAAGGTGGGTTCAAGTTCCTGCCCTCTAGCTGGTAACTTCAGGTAACTTATTTGCTTCTCAGCCTGCTTCATCTTCTGAGAAAGCAGATAAACCCACCCTCTGTGGAAAGTAAACCCATGTAGAGGGCCCGAGACACAGAGCCTCAGTGGAATTTTGCTTGTGCCTCAGGATCTGAGCGAGTCAGAGTCCCCGGGAACTCCCAGGCTAGGGGCCCAGGGGAAGGGGTGCTGAGTCCCTTGGGGTTGATGACTTTCAGGCCTCAGCTCCTTTGCCATTCACCCTGCCCCAGCCAGCACTGCCAGAGGCCTGTGCTGGAGAGACACGGATGACTCCCCACTCCGGAAACCAGGTCACCCCTCCTCTCCCCACTCCCAGCGGCACCCTAGAAAGTCGAACTGCTCTCCCCTCCCCGGCGCTCCAAGGCCCCTACCACCCAGGCGGGAAACTGCAAAGTTCAGTGGCTTCATTGTTTGCATTGATGAGCGCGTCGCCGGTAGCCACATCGGTGCTGTGACCTCCATCCCCTCTGCAGACACCGCCCGCGATCCCTGCAAGCCGCTCCCCGAGGTCCAGTCTCCCGTCTCACCATCCTGGGCCCCCACTCCCTGGGGCGCCCACACGAGGGGACCCAGCCTCTGTCCCACCTCCATTCCGGCAAATGCAAGCCCTCCCAGGCAGTCTCCCGCGCCCCTCCTGGTCAGTCCCTCTGAATCTTCTCCTGCGGGGACTCGGGAGAAAGAGCTGCTTTGGCCCCGCAAAGTCTCCCTGGGTTCCCGCGACCGTCAGGAGGGGCCGCCCTCTGGGACCTCCACTCCACATTCCAAGGCCTCCCCACCACGTCCCAGATTGAGCTTTTCCTTGGCGCGTCCGAAGCCTCACGTTTTCCAGGCCCGGTTCAGGGCCGCCTCCTCCAAGAAGCCTTCCAGACCTGCCCGTCTGCCCGTCAGTGCTACTTCCCTCCTCACTCGACTCCGAGCCCCGGCATCCCCTATCTCACTCCCCCGGAGCCTCGGCTCAGGCACATTTCCAGCCCCGGGACCTGCTCACCCGGGCTGCAGAGCCCAGGACTCTGTCCGCCCTCGGCTCTCACAGAGGGGCCTCACCGGTGCGCAGAGCCACAAGCAGCCACAGGGCCGCGCTCCGGCCCCGCATGGCGCCGTCGGGGCTGGCTGGGTCCTGGCTGGGTCCAGGTCCGAGGAAGTCAGCAGCGGCCGGGCTTCCTCCCTGCACCCTCCTCACGCTGGCCCGAGCTCCTTAAGTGCGGCCGGGAGTGCCTGGGCGGAATCCACGCCCCTGGGGCGCAGGTCACCTCCCGCCGGTCCCGGACCCCACACCTGGGCTGACCCGACGCGCCTAGGCCGGCCCTCTCGCGCCCCCTGCTGGAGGCCCGGCCTAACGCTCGGGCCCGGGCACAGCTGTTCGGAACTCTACCCTGCCCTCCTCTTGTCCTAGAAGACTCCAAATGCCATGTCCAACTGGTGAGAGAAAAGCTTAGATGTGGAAGGAAGAAGAGGTTAGAATCCCAGGCTCTGAGCTGGAGGGGAGCTGGAAGGACATGTCATTCACGCAGCAGTTCCCTCCAAACACATCTGCACAGAGGAGCCCAGGCCAACCGCCCTGGCGAGGGAGGAGCTGGGCAGGGGCATCTCCGTCTAGCCGATGCCTCTCCTCGGGCCTAGAGAGGGGAGATGACTTGCCCGAGTCAGGTACCCAGTCAATGGAAGAGCCAGCTGACTCCACCCTGCTTTGGAAGGTGAGAAGAGGACCAGAGAGGAATTGGAGGAAGCAGAAAAGGAGAAAGAGGCAGACAGGGAGGAAGAGAATGAAGAAGGCGAGGGAGGAAAGGGTGGGTTGACCATATTTCTAGGACAGTGGTTTTCAAAGTGTGGTCCCTAGGCCAGCCACGTTAGCAGCACCCCGGAACTTGTTGAAGTGCTCGGGCCCCGACCCACTGAATCAACAGCTCTGGGGGCGGGGCCCACAATCTGTTTTTATTTTGGGGTACAGCAAATGTTTGAGAACCACGGTTCCACGCAGACAAAAGCTGCACTCTTCGTGTGGCTGAACTGAAGAAATTGTTAGTCATCTGCTTCCATTTAGGTCTCACCTTTTGTCAAAGCCCCTCATGAGTACTCAGAAATGAAGGCGCTTTCTCTGACATGGGTAATTAAAACACAGAGAGAAAGATCCCTCTGAGTTTGTCAGTCCTTGAGCTTGCTCTGTGCCCTGGGGAAGGGAGCCCTCCCTCCTACTGGGCCACGAAGCGACTGCTTATTGCACACTAGATCGGGGAAGGAATATGGGCAAAGATTTACTAATTGTGGGCAAGTTCTTTCCCCTCTCTGGGCTTATTGCCCCATATGTAAAAGGTAGGTCATGAAGGCTCTGACATGCCAGACTTTTTCCTCTCCTGTCTGCTCTGGAGAACTCACGTGCTGTGGAAGCTGTTTCTCCATCCCCAGCTAGGTCCATCCAGAAGAGGGGGTACTTCTTCCTAATTCACACAAAAGTGCCAAAGGGACTAGCAGGCAGCCCTGCCAGAGGGGCTAACGGCTTGTCTATAAGGTAGAATAAAGAGAAGTTTTCTTAACAAGCCTCATCCTCCTGACCACGAGGGTAGACTCATTTGGCGCGCTCCAGGAGCCACCAGGTTACCGGCAGGATCTGTTGGTTGACTAAGTCCTTCCTTGGGCAACACTTCAAGCGGTGCTGATAGGGAGTCAGAACCACCTTACCTAAGAAGTCTGCTGAGCTCTTTCACAATGAGGTTCTTCCCTTATCTCTTGGATGTCATTCAACTGTGACTCATCAGTGAACTTGCTGTTGCTGGGTTCTAGGGGATTCTACATTGGGTCCATTTGCCCAGTGTTAGCATGAACATGTATCACCTTTGTACAATGGGGAACTCTGCCGCAGCTTGAGCCAGGATTCTGCCATTTCTGGAGTCCAGACATCCCTGGGTGTGCCAGAGAAATGGGTGGGATGTAATGAGAAAGTAATAAGCCAGCAATTTAATCCACCAACAGCCTTCTGGAGGAGCAGAAGCTGAGGTTACTCTGGTCCCCATTCTAGACGAATATTGAGGTTAGAGGGAGAGCCTATGAACTAAAGGAACCGGTTTCACTAACACTTTGATAAGATCCTGGGGCCTAAGCAACTCTGCCTGGGACTCCCTGACCCGGACCCTGCCCCATACTACAAAATACAAAGCGCTCTTCTCCACCCTTGCCAAAGACACAGCTCTGGCTCCAAGGATTCAGAATGGTCAGAAGCCTTGAGCCTGTCAGGGAGGTGAGGAACAGTAGATCCCATGGAGGGAATACACTACAGGCAGCCTCAGAAAGAGGGGGCCTTCGACAGGAGGCTGAGGAGGTCCATCAGCAGGTATTGGCTAATGCGCCAGCAAAGGATGAACTCCTCTACCCAAAATCTTAGGAAAAAAATATTTTTTCCAACAAATCATAACCGCTATTTGTCTATTTCTGTGGTCCACAATATCTTTAATTAAGATCAAGCCAAATAATTTTAATTCTGGGGAACCCTTGGAAGGGCTGGTGTGCCCTGAGAAAATTAGGATGTGAACATTTGCAGTAGTGTGGTTTCAAAGGATATTACACTCTTGCTGACTGGTTAATAAATCTGAATTTGTATACTGAGAACAAATTGAGCAAATTTGAGCTAATTTTAGAAATATAAGTTCCCCTCCCCCACCGCCCAATAGGAAAAGTATTTTTCCTATGAAGCTAGACTTAGGGGGAGTCCCGTTCATTTGGGCTACATGATGCTGCGTGCAAAGGCAGAGTCTATGTTTGATCATTTCTGTGCTCGGCACAGGGCTTGAACATAGAGGAAGATTTCTAAGTGTGAATTATTATGTTTTAGGATGTTATTAGCTATCATTGCTGGTGTCTGATGCTGCAGAGGCGAAGAATGAGAAAAACCACAGGATCTGGGGACTATGGTGGCCCCAAAGAGCTGTCTGAGCAAGTTTCAATGGCACGGCCAGGGCTGAGGCTTGGCCAGGAAACTGAACCTCATGAGGGCAGGGATGGTGTCTTGTCTGCCACGGTTCCCAGTGTCTAGCATCAGGTCTGGAATAGAGTAGGCATTCAACACATAATTACGGCATCATTATAAATGAGGGGAAGAGCAAAGAGTATCTCAGGACATCTGGCTAAGAAAGGGAGAGGGGCTGTCTTCAGGCGACTCAACGTCAAGGCTAAGTTTTTACAGAAGATATTTGATCAGGATGTGAAGAATAAGATCAAGACGGAGTGGGCAACCATGAAAGGAAAACAAACCATGCGTCTTCCCGGGGATGGGAGAGGAGGAGGATGGGAAAGTGTTCAACTGAGCTGAGCCTGTAGTCAAGTGTAAGTCTCTCAAAGCTGAGCTCAGTTTATTATCGAACCACAAAAGCTTTCCTTTCCTGAAAAACTTACTTGCAGTTCAGACTTTAATGTGTAGAAGATTCTAAAGACTCCAGGTGAACTTTGAAGATAGTTTTAAAGCCATTAATAAAGCTCCATCAACTTCACTGAATATAAGAGTTAATCTGAGAAGAAACCAGTATAAAAGGAGGTAAAGAGTGAAGAAGTAAAATCAAAAATACTATATTTGTCTTCGTCACTAAAGACTTCCAGAGAAATTATTTATATCGCAGCTACTTCCACGGAGGGCTTCAGCTGACATATAATGAAAACATATATGTGCAAAGAAGATAAAAATCATAAAGCATGTTCGAGAAGGGAGGTTATTATAAGGAAGCAGAAAAGAAAGACTATAATTGAACAAAAAAATTGGCTTAGAGATTTATAGTTAGACCTTTTTTCTTTGAGATGGAGTTTTGCTTTTGTCTTCTTGCCCAGGCTGGAGTGCAATGGAACGATCTCAGCTCACCCCAACCTCCGCCTCCCAGGTTCCTGCCTCAGCCTCTTAAGTAGCTGGGGTTACAGGCGTGCGCCACCACACTCAGCTAATTTTTGTGTTTTTAGTAGAGACAGGGTTTCACCATGTTGGCCAGGCTGCTCTTGAACTCCTGACCTCAGGTTATCCATCTGCCTCGGCCTCCCAAAGTGCTGGGATTACAGGTGTGAGCCACAGCGCCTGGCCTATAGTCAGACCTCTTTATCCCCTTCTCCATCTCCACGTCTACCAACTTGCAAATGAAGTCACTGCCAACACTTAAAAGGCGGCTGTTTCCAGACCCTTAAAAAGTCACAGCAGTGAAGACAACCATGCTACCGAGGCCAGCAGGTTCTAGAGTAGAGAAGCTGTGCACCCTCATCTGCCGTGGGTACTTCACTGGGGAAAAGAAATATAATAAAAAATGCCACCTAATCTTGAGACATCTAAAATGGTAAAAGCGGCACAGAAAGCACATTCTCAGCATTAAGTGGACACCCCAGAAGTACTGGAGGAATTCAGGCATCAAGGGCTGTAACTGGCTAGGTTTCTGCAGGTGAAGGGACTTAGGGTGGCTTTGAAGAAACTAGAGCTTTGATAAGGGGACTTGGGTGGGGAGGACACAACATTTGGGAGGTGGTGTTGGCAAAGGAGGCATTTGCATTGACAAACAGCTAAGACAAGCTCTGCAGAGGGTGTAGGTAAGAGGTATGGCCAGGGAGGTCAGTGTTGGCAGAGGACTTACTGATTACATACTATATTCCAGGAACTATACTTTTACAGGTGAATTAATTCACTTAGATCTATGATACATGAAGATCGCCGAAGAGAGGGAAATACAAGCTGCACTTTAGGAAAATTCATCTGGTGGGTAGCTGGATCAGCAAGGGAGCCAATTAGAGGCTGGGAGATGATTTAAGAGGCCACTACAATAATACAGGTCAGGGCTAAGAACCTGGATTAGTGATGACAATGGAAATGAGAGTGAGAAAAAAATAATAGTGTTTGGTGAAGATGGGATGTTTAAGAAAGGGAGGTGTCAAAAGCAGTAAAGCTAAAGTTTAGGTGACCGAGAGAATATGAAGTATAACCATTACTGGCTACGCGTAGGAAGGTAGTTAAAAGTTTAGTAAAGCTTTTTCCTAGTAAGGGTGTCAGATAAACTAAATCTAAACCAAGCACTGAACTTTCAGAGAAAGGGATCTATCTTCAAAAGATGTCTTTTCTAGTCTTAAATACCACTAGGGAAGTGGATATTTTTGATCAGATGACACGCGATTTAGAAAAGCTTTTTGTAGAGACTCAATAGTGTGGAACATATGGGACTTCCATACACTTCGTCTTGTCTTCAGCTATCCCATCTGTGAGGTAAATGTACCCAATTTTAGACATCCTAAAGAAGATAAGATTACATCACTCTTTCGAATCTTTTCCTCCATCAGAAAATTCATTTTATCAATTCATTAGCAAGTTTCACATGCTAATTGTCTTTTTGCACTGACTTGTACATAAAGAAATTCATTCTACTGTCGTTAAAAATTGTCCAAATGACACTGGTAGTTAACAGCTGACTGGCAGAAACAGGAATATATGCAGAATACAGTAGTTTATTTCTACTTTTGGCAGACACCAGTATTTCCTAAGGATTAATCTGGAGCCAATTTCAGGCAGGGACCTGTAATTTTTTTAATAACACCCAAGTGAGCAGTCATATTGTGGTAAAAATGGGAGACTGTCAAGGCCACGTGTGCTACCTGCATGTAGGAGTGTTGCACCCATTGGTGGAACCAGGGTTCATCAAGGATTCCTTAGGTATGCTGCACTAGAATTAGATTTCTATAAATCGCATCAGTAATATTTAAAATGCATAGAGGTTACCACCTAAAGAAAACAGTAATTTGGAAAAACAACAATCCTTCTTTGTCTGAAATCCAACAAACAAAATTTTCTTGGAAGATCAGGGTTTTGTCTCCATGGACTGTTTTCTAAAGTATAAGGCTAGTAAGACAATCCCATCTTCTGCAAATTGCCTGTCCGCAGTTTTTCTTCTTCTCATTCACTGCTGTCCTGCATAGACTACATGTATTTCACTTAGGACATCAGTAATGAGTCATGCATCAGTCACTGGCACACCTAGCTATTGGATCATTAGTGTTTTTTCCCGAGGGCTTGAAATTCTGAAGTGCTCATTCTTGTAGTCATTTCTGCTTTAGATGAAAATTTCCTCTGTAAACAGGCTCTCTGGATCTATCATTCTGCCTTTACAATTTGTTTCAGGATGACAGGCTCCTATGCAACTGCCTAAGCATGTGGATGCTCACAGTAATGACGAAAGTGGGCGTGGGGTTGGGCCCATCATGACTTTCAGCATCAGAAACCCTTTTCTGCTTGCTGCTGCTTGTTCCTGTAGTCTAGGGTGGCAAAGAAATACACAACTATCATGGGATGGAAATAACCCAAAAGTCCTTCAACCAGTGAACACATAAACTGTGGCACATCCAAAAAATGGAATACTGCTCAGCAATGAAAACCACAGATACAGGCAGCAACATGGATTACTCTCCAGTGCATTTTGCTAAGCCACACCCCAAATGCTCCATTTCATTCCATAATGACATTCTGGGAAAGGCAAAAGTATAGGCACTGCAGACAGATCAGTGGTTGTCACAGATTGGGGCTGAGAGGAGGTATGAACTACATAGGGCAAAGCATCAGAGAATTTCTTTGGGACGGTGGAACTGTTTCATATTCTTGATTGTGGTGGTGGTTACATGACTCTCTGCATGTGACAAATGCTAGAATGATACACCAAAAAAAGTGAATTTTACTACAGACAAATTAAAAAATAAACATATAAGACAGCAGCTTCCCCTGGGGTGGGAGTAGTGACCAGGAAGAAGCTAAGAAGGTCTCCTGGGGTGCCAGTCATGCTCTACTGACTGAGCTTCATGATTAAATATGGCGATGCGTATCTGGAAAGTTATTAAGGGATATGTACACTTATGCATATCTATACCTTTTACACAGATATGATACAGATCAATAAAAAGTCACCTGATCACCATTTCTGTTCATAATGCTGTTTAGTAGACTAGAATTTATTGTTTTGCCAGCTTTTAGGTAACCATATTTGGGATGAAGTGGAGAAAGAGCCAGTGGTGGAAAGTCAGTAAGCAGTGCCTATTTCTAGTTAAATGAACTAAAAGACAAAATATTTTATCTGGGTGATTTAAGTAATATTTTTCACACGATTATTTTAGGCCTGTTTTGAGACTCTCTTAATGTTCTGAAGAACTGCTAGGAACTGCTGGGTCTAGGACTGTGCAGAAAGGAGGATGGCTTATGAAACCTCGATGTTTTCCAGTTCCATGTTTGAGAATGAGTTATGGTGTGCCACAACTCACAGCACCTTTGACAAAAAATAGGGATCCTGTGAAGAGAACAGCAAACACGATTATAGAGACTGAAATGTAAATAATTTAAATTGTCAAAGGAAATTTCCCTATAGATAAGAATGGTTGACAACATTCTGAGTCTTCCATGGTCAATCATAAACACACCCCTTAATAAGGGGAAGAACACACGTTATGTGTCAAGTATCAGATGGTATGACTGTGTTTCGTATATAACTCTTTATTTATCCCTTGTAACACTCCTGCAAGGTAGTCATTCAAATCCCATTTAAAATATGGCGAAATTGAGGGTCAGGTTAATCCTCACAAGAGAAGCTGAAACAATTCTAAGCTTCTGATTCCAAAGGAAAAGGGAATTAGCTTTAGAATGTTCTATGTGCTAGTTCCCTTCATCTGTAATCTTACTGATTCTCAAATTATCCCCATTTTACAGATAAGTAAAATTAAGAGGGATTATGTGACATGCCCAAAGTTAGATAAGTGGCAGAGTGGCATTCAAATCAAGCTGATTCACAGCCCACATTCTTCACATCAGAGTGCACTGCTGCCAGAGTCAGTGAGCAGTATACTGTGCAACTCTGGAGGCAGATAAATGCAATCTTAGACTCAACTACCAGATGCTCTAAACTTGGGTCAGGAAGTGGCACCCATGTTTTCCCCCCGATATCTTTCAAAATGGAACTTCACTGTAATATCATAAATGTACTAGTATTTTGTAACATAAGTAATTCAAACCTTCAGGGACTGAATAACCCACAAACTCCAGCTCTTAGAATGGGAGGAAAAGGAATTTGTATGTTAGGAAAACAATTTTCTAGGAGTCAGGAGTTAAACGTTCTAATCCTGGCTCTGCCCCTGATTTGCACTAAGACACAGGGATCTTTAGGCTTCTATTTTATCACATGTAAATTGAGCATTCAAGGCAGAGAATCTTAGAAGGTAACTGCTCTAGTATCTTAGACAAGAAGTTTTACTCATTGCTAAAGTTCCTGAATTGCCATCTTCGGAGCTTAAATACTATGTAGTGTTTAGCAAGTATTTGCTAACCAGAATGTACGTTTTGCTGGAATGGGCTCCGCAGGCTGGAATGAGCTCCGCAGGCTTGCTTCTATTATTTATTAAGAGCCCTAGGTGGTCACAGAACAGCAAAGCAACCAAATAGGTCCAGCCACATTCAAGAGGCATTTTTCTTTTTGCCAGCTTAAGAATATGAAGAGGTATATTAGAGACTTTGCAAAACATTTGAAACTGTGTATTATTCTCTGGGCATTACAATAATGGACTATTTTCTAACAAATACTGTTTCAATTCTGGTTCTCAAGGGTTCGTTCTTTGCATGACGTTGTGACAGGCCTAGGCTGCCTTGTTTCCCACAGATAGTCTTTTCAGCTGTGACGGGAGTGACTTGTTCTATGGGTCTGTCCTTACTAGTTGTAAGACTCTCCTTATTTATAAAGGATTGCTAAAATGATAATTTAAAAGTTACAGTTGTTTACACAGTAGGGACTGAAGAATGAGGTAGCGAAGTGTATTGAAGAGAATGTAGAGTTGGGGAAGACAGGCTTGGATCCAAATACTAAGCACCACTGCCACTTATTAGCGGAGTGATCTTGGGCAAGAAATTTCCATGTCAACCTTCCAGTGTAGCTGATAACACCACCTTCTCTCTCTCTCTTTTTTAAGTAAGAGGTAGGATACTAAAGTGGCTATTGCATAATACTCAGCAATTAGTAATTTCATTATTGATAGTCCTATACAATCTAGAAACCTGCACAAGCATATATTCTTACAAAAAAATCACCTATCAAGAACATCCAGAAAACAATCTTATAAAGATTTTAATACATAAATGACATCCTTTTATAACCACTTGATATTTTACAACATGTGACTATTTGGCAAATACTTCAAAATAGCTTATGCTGGGGTCTTGTAAGACAATTTCTGAAGCTCTTGAGATTTTACAGATTTCTTCTAGTACGTTTATGTTTGGTTAACAATCTACAATATTTAGTATAACAGCAATTGTGTGTGTGTGTGTATTTCAATGTGTTAACACACTCTGTTGCCTAATTGCTCTGAATTCAGTTATAAATTACATGATGCTTCAAATTGTTTCAAGAATGTTAGCTTGTAAAATATTTTTTCTTTGAAAATTCAAGACACATTTAACATATGGGTTTTACAATATAGTTTATTAGCTGTTCTCCTCTTCTTCATAAATGGAATGGATAACGTTGATAATTCTTTACAAACCAGTACTCATTTAAGAAACTGTAATGAAGAGGTTGTCAAAACACATATTTAATAAACAACTCCAAAGAGCAAGGGGAAGCCAAATATTAATATAAAGGACCAGAGAAATTGATTTCTGAAATCATTTCTACCTTTCACTAAGATTTCCTAAAATTGCTCACCATGAAGATTTGTGCAATTCTACTGCAGAGCAGTGGATGAAAGATGTCCGAGGGGAAAACACACACATAAATGGGGCTTCTGCCTGCCTTCCTATTAATAAAAGGAGAACTAGAAGGAAAGGGCAAGGACCAAAATCAAACCTGATGACAAGGATAACAGTAACAAAAACAGTAACAAAAACCCCCCAGGGACCATTGGAAAACTTCTGTAGGAAAGAGGAGAATATGCCCATACTTTTACTTATAATCTAATTTCCCTAAATGTTTCTCCTCACGACCACCATGCCCCCATTTTCAGTTCACATGATTAAGGAAGATAAGTCTATTCAATTAATATTTAATTTAAAAACCAAACAAAAAGTTAGGAGTAGGTGGCAAAAGAAACAAAATATATTTTAAATATATATATATATATGTTTGTGTGTGTGTGTGCAACTATGTAAAGAAAATAATTCCCATAGTTACAGAGTTTAAAGAAAGGTTTATATATATATTTATATATATTTCATTATAACAAAATAGGCAGCTATTGTGGGTAAAATATTCAGTAAAATCTGACTCCTAAGAATACATTTTAAGTTTTAGGCTATGAATTGGACTCCTTTTCCATTGCCATTATGGTTACTACATCACCACTGTAATGTCTGTTTTGTCTGTATTTATATCTAGGAAATTTTCTCAACCTTCTGTGTAAAAGGTGAACTTCCTTAGCACCTGAACATGGCCTCAATTCAGAAAGTGTGATGATCGTTATGTATGAACAACTTCGGTAAGACGTGAGAGTGTTGCTCAAGTAGATGAAAAACATTTAAACGGTGTTATTCCCAGCAAATGTACTGGGAGAAAAGAACCCTCAAATAATAAAGACTTTAAGAACTCTTAGGAAAAATGAAATCCCTTATGAAAGTTAACTCAGACATTAATTTTGAAATTAAAAAATATGTCTTCCTTATTTGTCTGTAATGAAACAATCGCTTTGATGACAGAAGTTGAGAAAAGGACTTGAGAATATTACATTGGCCAAACCATGCTATTAAAACTTAAGCGTGCATAGTTGCTCAAAGTCTACTAAATCACTGATTAAAACCACTTTTTCATTTGTACTGAAATTTGAAGAGAATGTATATAAAGCTTTTCAGAAAATCTCTTAAAGTTACTTTCCCTTAAACATTAAGGAATTTTACCACAATTTCTGCGTCTCCCCAAATTCTTAATAGCTGATCAGGCCATTCCATCTTCAGTTCTGAAAAATGGCCACTAAGCAATAGTGACATTAAATAATACACATGATATAATTTGAAGGAGACACTACATGTAAAAAATGAGCGCAACTGCAGACCGTGATGTGTGGGATATAATTCACCATGAAGTGAGTACTGAAGACGACTCCAGAGGAAGGGGCAAAGAGATGCCACAGAAAATGGAATTGTGGAAAAGAGAAATAGAGAAACGTCAGTTTTCATAACTTTTCCTTTGCTGGAACCCAGATGTAAGAACCAGACTGTTCTTCTATGATCTGTTTCACTTGGTTGTAAATGTCTTCCAGCGTATCTCCCTGTACAATAGCTGTAATGACAGAAACAAAATCAGAAATCTCCATTAATTGTCTATTTTTGTCATTACAATTTTTGGTGAAATAGTAGAAGCTAATATCTTTGAAAAAGTTACTCATGCAGGAAGAATCACCATTTATGCACTGTTTGCTGAAAAAAAAAATCACAGCTCACTTCATTAACTTTCCTATTTGTATAGTATAAAATGTTTATCTTAATAATGGATCACAAAGTAAGATTTGGTGACCTTTTCTTTTGTTCTTTTACCATCTGAGCATATATTAGTTTTTTTCTTATAAAACAAATTATTTTCTTAAATTTCCTGATTTCTCCATAAATGTAGAAAAAAGGAAACTGGGTACAATCCCACAGGGAGGATGATGTGTGGATACTTTTTTATTTTTTGGGTAGGATCGTGGGGAAAAAGAGCTGATTATAGATTGATACTACTTTCTTCAGTATGCTAGCATGTCAGGTACTGTAGTGTAGGTGAACTGAGATATGTAAGCTGGCTTGTTAGTGGTTAGAGACTTAACAATCAATGTTTATTTGCTGCCTGAAATAATGTATGAACAAATGAGTAACAATTACTAATAACGAAGTCTTTGGAAACAGCTGAAGCCCTTGATGTCTGTGAGAGATGAGGATCAGTTAATAAGAAAAACAAACGAATGAACAAAAAACACGAAGTATCACTACACAACACTAAGCATGAGTAACTTTTTAAGAAGAAAGAAAGTGTTTATGGTTGGGCATGGGGGCTCAGGCCTGCAATCCCAGCACTTTGGGAGGCTGAAGTGGGAGGGTTGCTTTAGGCCAGGAGTTTGACATCAGCCTGGGCAACATAGTAAGACCCTGTGTTTAAAAAAAGAAAAAAAAGTTAGCTGGGCATGGTGGTGTGTGCCTGCCTTTTGGCTACTTGGAAGGCTGAGACAGCAGGACGATGTCTTGAGCCCAGGAGTTCACATTTGCAGTGAGCTATGACTATACCACTGGATTGTCACCATTTGCCTGGGTGATAAAATCAGACCTTGTCTCTCATAAAAAACTTTCTGAATGAAATAATTCAGAATTGCAAGTTAAGTCACTTATTAAACTACAAAAAGATGCCCAGTGATTTGATTTGGAAGCACATCATAGATGTAGATTTCCACAGTCTGAAAAACTGAACATAAAATGTCAAAGGGAGATTTTAAATAATACTGTCTACTTGGTGCCTGAGATTATGTTCATAGAAGAAAGAAGTTGTATGTATGTAGGAAGGGCTTATAACATATGTAGCTAAGAATGCCTGAGTAACCAAAAATTTTAAGTAACATAATATTCGCTAGTATCAGCTTTGCGAGAGTTCTACCTTTTGAACTAAATACCGACATGTCTCAGTGTCCCTGAAGACTCAGTTCATTTGACAAAAACACTTGGTTCATGGGTTTGGCATCTTGATGCACTCTAACAGCACAGGACAGAATCCCAGAGCATTTCATAGTTTAGGCTGACAACAGCATGCAAGGATTTATCTTAGGAGAAAAGAGCTAGTCAGGAACTGACTTGGGAAACACACATTTTGCTTACTTTTTAAATTCATTAATAGAATGGCTAGTAAACGAGGATACTCCTTAGGAAGGAACTGGTAAAGCATAAGGCTGCAGACACCTTAACCACGTGATTAAAACTAGCACCACAAGTAATGGCACGAGTAGACATCCGTAAACCTTCTTATACAGAAAGATACATTTTTTTTTTTTTGAGACGGAGTTTCGCTCTTGTTACCCAGGCTGGAGTGCAATGGCACGATCTCGGCTCACCGCAACCTCCGCCTCCTGGGTTCAGGCAATTCTCCTGCCTCAGCCTCCTGAGTAGCTGGGATTACAGGCGCGCACCACCATACCCAGCTAATTTTTTGTATTTTTAGTAGAGACGGGGTTTCACCATGTTGACCAGGATGGTTTCGATCTCTTGACCTCGTGGTCCACCTGCCTTGGCCTCCCAAAGTGCTGGAATTACAGGCTTAAGATACATCTTTACTTCATTGCTATTCCTGCCCCAAATGCATAACCTAAATATAATCATGAGAACACGCCAGATAAATCCGAATTGAGGGAGGGACATTTTTTGAAAGAACTGGTCTTTGGCCAGGTGCAGCGGCTCACACCTGTAATCCCACCACTTTGGGAAGTCAAGGTGAAGGTGGGCAGATTGGGTGAGCCTAGGAGGTTGAGACCAGGCTGGGCAACATGGCAAAATCCCATCTCTGCAAAAAATACAAAAATTAGCTGGGCATGGTGGCTCTAGCCTATAGCCCCAGCTCCTCCGGAGGCTGAGGTGGGAGGATCACTTGAGCCTGGGAGGTGGAGGGTGCAGTGAGCTGAAATTGCACTGCTACACCCTAGCCTGGGCAACAGAGAGAGACCTTGTCTCAAAACAAACAAACAAAGTTTTTACTCTTAAAAAATGTCAGTCAAGGTCATGAATAACAAGACTTGGGAACTATTTCAGATTAAAGTACATTAAAGATGTGATAATTCAATGCAACATGTGACCCTGAAATGGATCCTGTATTGGAACAGAGAATCCATTTTTTCCATTTTGCTCTAAAGGGATTAGAAGAATAGTAAAATAATAAGATCTACAGTTAGATGAGACATTATTAAATTTCCTGATTATGATAATAAAAACTATGATTATATAAGGAAATATCCCTGTTTTTTTTTTTTTGGGAAAATATACACTGAAAATTTTTTTTGAAAATACACAGGTAGAAATTAAGGCGCATCTACCTAAAACTTACTCTCAAATGTTTCAGAAAGAAGTTATAAATGTGGTAAAATGTTAACACTTGAGGATTTGGGTGAAGGGTACATGAGACTTCCCTGTACTATTCTTGTAACTTCTATTAAAGTCTGAAATTAGTTTGGAAAAAAATGAGAAAGCAAAAGGCTTACAAAACCATGACCCTTACTGATACTCAGTGTGAATGTCAAATACAGGCTGATTTTATTTCAAACAAACAGCAACAACAAAAATGTTCAAAGACTTGAGGAGCAACTTAAAGGACAAACTAAGATAAGAATATTGGGGAATTGCTACCAACTCTTTTTTTCTTTTAAACAAATAATATTTCAACAGATTAAAGGGCAACTAATCTTTGACAAGGGGCCAAGAATACACAATAGGGAAAGGCTAATGTCTTAAATAAATGGTGTTGGAAAATCTGAATATCCACATGCAAGAGAATGGAATTGGACCCTTATCTTATACAAACTTAACTTGAAATAGATTAAATACTTAAATGTAAAACCAGGAACCATAAAGCTCCTAAAAAAAAAGCATAGGGAAAAAAGCTCCTTGACACTGGACTTGGATGACTTTTTTGGAAAGTACAGGCAAAAAAGCACAGGCAGCAAAATAAAAAATAATCAAGTGGGACATCAAATGAAAAAACCTTCTACACAGCAAAGGAACAATCAACAAAATGAAAAGGTAACCTATTGAAGAGGAGAAAATATTTCCAAACCATGTAATTGGTAAGGGGTTAATATCCAAAATATATAGGGAACTCATAGAACTCATTAGCAAAGAAACAAACAATCCATTTAGAAAATGGGCAAAGAACTAGAATAGACATTTTTCCAAAGAAGACATACAGATGGCCAACAGATATCAGTAAAAGGGCTCAACCTCACTGATCATCAGGGAAATAGAAATCAAAACCATAATGAGGCCAAGCATGGTGGCTCACTTGAGGCCAGGAGTTCGAGACCAGCTTGGCCAACATGGCAAAACTCTGTCTCTACTAAAAACACAAAAATTAGCCAGGTGTGAAATCCCAGCTATTTAGTAGGCTGAGGCATGAGAATTGCTTGAACCTGGGAGACAGGGTTGCAGTGAGCTGAGATCATGCCACTGCATTCCACCCTGGGTGACAGAGCAAGACTCTGTCATGAAAAACCAACCAACCAAACCATAATGAAATAATCACCTTAGGCCTGTTTGAATGGCTGTTACCAAAAAGACAAGTGATAACAAATAGGCAATGGTATGAAGAAGAGAGAACCCTGTACACTGATGGTGGGAATACAAATTAGTAAAGCCATCATAGGAAATAGTGCGGACATCCCTCAAAAAATTAAAAATTGAACTAGAATATGATCTAGCAATCCTACTACTGGGTATACATCCAAAGGAAAGGAAATTGGGCTGGGTGCAATGTCTCACACCTGTAATTCCAGCACTTTGGGAGGCTGGGGCAGGTGGATCACTTGATGTCAGGAGTTTGAGACCAGCCTGGCCAACATGGTGAAACTCCGTTTGTACTAAAAATAACAAAAATTAGCTGGGTGTAGTGGCATGTGCCTCTAGTCCCAGCTACTTGGGAGGCTAAGGCAGGAGAGTCAACTGAACCCAGGAGGCAGTGGTTTCAGCAAGCCGAGATCATGCCACTGCATTCCAGCTTGGGCAAAAGAAAGAGACTCTGTCTCCAAACAAACAACAAAAACCCAAAGGAAAAGAAATTGGTATGTTGAAGAGAAATGTGCACTACTATATTCACTGTAACATAATCAATAATAGCCAAGATATGAAAATAACCTAAGTGTCTGTCAAAAGATGAATGAATAAAGAAAATATTACAGGCCAGGTGCAGTGGCTCACACCTGTAATACTAGTACTCTGGGAGGCGGAGGAAGGAGGATTGCTTGAGCCCAGGAGTTTGAGACTAGCCTGGTCAACATAGCGAGACCCTGTGTCTACAAAAATAAAAAATCAGTCAGTGTGTGGTGTTGCACCCCTGTAGTCCCAGCTACTAAGGAAGCTCAAGAGGGAGAATTGCTTGAGCCCAGGAGGTTGAGGCTGTAGTGAGCCATGATCATGCCACTGTATTCCAGCCTGGGCAATGGAACAAGACCCTGCCTTGAAAATGAACAAAAAACCAAAAACAAACAACACCAACAAACAAATACAATATATGTATCAAATACGTGTGTGTGCATGTGTGTGTGTGTGTGTGTGTATATGGTATATATACAACAATGGAATATCTATTAGGCCATAAAAATGGAAATCCTATCATCTGCAACAACCAACTTGAGTGAATGTGGAGGACATTACGCTATATGAAATAAGCCACGCAGAAAAGCAAATACTGTATTTCATTTACATGTGGAATCTATAAAAGCAGACCTTATAGAAGCAGAGTAGGATAGTGATGTACCCTTTCACCAACATCTCCCCTACTGCAGACTGCAGAGTAGGGGAGATGTTGGTGAAAGGTTACAGTTACAAACTTTCAGTTGTAAGATGAGTAAGTTCTGGAGATCTAATATACGGCATAGTGACTATAGTTAATAAAGAGTACATTTTAAGCATCTTCCTTATACACACAAATGGTAACTGTGTGAAAGACATGTTAATTTGACTGCATTAATCAAATTACAATGTATGTTTTATCAAATCACATTATACACCTTCAATATGTACAGATTTTGCCTCAACATGGCTAGAGAAAATGGATCAAAATTTATAAAGCATAAGAGAAAAATCAGAGTTTCATAGAATAAATGATATCTAAATCTATTTTTCTTTGGTCAAGTGTGAAAATTCCTTTTTGCTGTTCTAACCAATAACCTAAGACACATTAAATCTGGGTTCCCCAGCACCACTGCCCAGGCTAGATGAATTTCCCACAGGACGAAACCACTGACCTTAAGGGTTTATTATGAAAATGACAGTACTAGCTACTACTGGTAGATGTAGGCATAGTTCAAAATCCACTTGAATGGATCAGTTCACATGGCTTCAAAGCAGAATTCTATAATAAAGAGGACTGTTACAACACTGTTCCAACCTGTGAAATGTTCAGTAAACTCCTGTTCCAGTTTCATGGCTCTCTCAAACGTTTTTCTGGCTTGTTCTTCTGTTAGCCGCTTATTCATTTCCCTATGCAAATACATTTAGAAATTGATAGTTACTACATTATAATACTTTTTTAAAAAAGATGACAAAGGAGACAAGACACATAAAACAGAAAATCATGAAAAGTTGAATTCTGTTGAAAATATATGAACATCATTAAAAACTTGAATCATTTTGGCTGTTTCTGGGATTTTTAAAATTTTAGACAGAGTTTTGCTCTTGTTGCCCGGGCTGGAGTGCAGTGGCACGATCTTGGCTCACTGCAACCTCCGCCTCCTGGGTTCAAGTGATTCTCCTGCCTCCACCTCTTGAGGAGCTGGATTATAGGCGTGTGCCACTATGCCCGGCTAATTTTTGTATTTTTAGTAGAGACCAGGTTTCAACATGTTGGGCAGGGGCTGGTCCCAAACTCCTGACCTCAGGTGATCCCCCCCCGCCTCCGCCTCTCAAAGTGCTGGGGTTACAGGTGTGAGCTACCAAGCCTGGCCTGTTTCTGGGATTTTTGAAAATAAAAATAATAGACTGGGCGTGGTGGCTTATGCCTATAATCCCAGCACTTTGGGAGGCAGAGCAAGCCAAAACCCCATCTCTACTAAAAATAAAAAGATTAGCCAGGCATAGTGGCACATGATTGTAATCCCAGACACCCGGGAGGCTGAGGCAGGAAAATCGCTTAAATCTGGGAGGCAGAAGTTGCAGTGGGCTGAGATCGTGCCACTGCACTCCAGTCTAGGTGACAGAAAGAGACTAAATTGCAAAAACAAAAATAAAAAAAAAATAAAAATAAAAACTAGACTCTGTCACTGAACATGCTGCTGTATACTTCGAATGCCAGAGGGTTTTAACAAGTTCTGCACGGGCTCAATGTAGCCAAAAAGCTATTAATTAATTTATGACAGTTTGATGAAAATTTCATATTAAAATGACTTACAGATCTACCTATCAGTTTATAGAAAATAAGGAGACACACGTCCATGTAAATAACACCATCAGAAGGTAATCAAAAATACAGTCTGGGAAAATCTCTGTAGAGGAAATGACCTGGTTTCTATCACAAATAAATGGGAGGTGGGGTTGGGGGAGGCATAAAAGAGAGAGATGTGGAGAGAGAAGCTATAGGTTAAACAACTTAACCAACTGCCATGAACAGATCTTATTTGAAATTTTATTCCAATAAACAAACTGAAAAAAAATAAACAAAATTTAAGACATAACCAGCAAAATTTGAACTATATCAAAGAATTATTATTTTAAGTATGATAATCAGTGATTTTTAAAAAATTATCTTTCAAATATACAGTAATATACATAGACAAAATGATATAAACATCTGAGACTTGTTTCAAAATAATCTGGAATGAAGATGTAAGGAGATGGGTGGGAGTGGACAGATGAAACAAGATTGGTCATAAGTGGATAATTACTGCTGCAGCTAGTAAGCATATGAGTTTATTCCCAACTTTAAGGAAAGCCTTCCATATTTTGCCATTAATTATGATGTTTGCTTTGATATTTTATAGAGTTACTGTCTAGTTTTCTTTCATCCCACCCTACAAAATTCTCTTGAGCATTTCTTGTAAGGTAGGACTACAGGTAATGAACTCTCTGTTTTTATCTGGGCGTGTGTTAATTTCACCCTCATTTTTGAAGAACAGTTTTGCCAGATATAGGATTCTTTGTTGACAGTTACATTTCTTTTTTTCTTCAATGTTTTGAACCCACTGTTTTCTGGACTCCAAAGCTTCTGATAAAAGATCTGCTGGTGGGGTGCGGTGGCTCACACCTGTAATCCCGGCACTTTGGGAGACTGAGGCAGGTGGATCATCTGAGGTCAGGAGTTTGAGACCAGCCTGGCCAACATGGTGAAAACCCGTCTCTACTAAAAATACAAAAATTAGCCAGGTGCAGTGGTGGGAGCCTGTAATCCCAGCTACTAGGGAGGCTGAGGCAGGAGATTCACTTGAACCTGGGAGGCAGAGGTTGCAGTGAGCCAAGATTGCACCACTACACTCCAGTCTGGGTGACAGAATAAGACCCTGTCTCAAAAACAACAACAAACAAGCAAACAACAACAACAACAAAAAACCTCTGCTGATAGCTGGGCATGGTAGGTACTGTACTCACACCTGTAATCCCAGAACTTTGGAAGGCTGAGGTAGGTGGATCACTTGAGCTCAGGAGTTTGAGACTAGCCTGGGAAACATGGCAAAACCCTGTCTCTATAAAAAAATACAAAAATTAGCCAGGTATGGTGGTGCACATCTGTAGCCCCAGCTACTTGGGAAGCTGAGGTGAGAGGCTGCTTGAGCCCAGGAAGTTAAGGCAGCAGTAACCTGTGTAAGCAGTAAGCCACTGCACTCCAGCCTGGGTGACAAAGCGAGACTTTGTCTCAAAAAAAAAAAACAAAACAAATCCACTGATAATCTTATTGGGAAATTCCTTGTATGTGGTCTGCTTTCAAGATTCTCTCTGTATTCTGACAGTTTGATTATAATGTGCCTCAGTGTGGGTATCTAAGTTTATCCTGCTTGGAGTTCATTGAGTTTCTTGAATGTTTACATTTGTGTCTTTCATCAAATTAAGGATGTTTCTGGCCATTATTTCTTCAAATCATCTCTCTGCCTTTCTCTGTCTATTCTCCTTCTAGGACCCCCATAATGTGTATACTGATTACCTGATGGTGTCTCACAGGTCCCTTAGGGTCTGTTCACTTTTCTTCAATCATTTCTCTGTTTCTCAGACTAAATAATTACCATTGTTTTATCTTTAAGTTAAATTTGTTGATTCTTTCTTCTGTCTGCTCAAATCCACCTGAATCCCTCTAGTGAATTTTCTACTTCAATTATTTTCAGCTCCAGAATTTCCTTTTGGTTTCTTTTCAGATTTCTTTGTTGATATTTCCATTCTGTTCATGTATCTTTTTCGTCTTTTTTTCCTTTATCTTTTTGGAGACAAGGTCTCCTTCTGTTGCTCAAGCTGGAGTGCAGTGGTGTGATCTTGGCTCACTGCAGCCTTGACCTCCCAGGTTCAAGAGATCCTCCCACCTCAGTTCTGAATGTAGCTGGGACTATAGGTATTCACCACTATGCCCAGCTAATTTTTGTTTACTTTAGTTTTGCTCGTTACTCAGGCTGGGGTGCAGTGGTGTGATCTCAGCTCACTGTAACCTCTGCCTCCCTGGTTCAAGCAATTCTCATGCCTCAGGCTCCCATGTAGCTGGGATTACAGGTACCCACCACCACACCCGACTAATTTCTGTACTTTTAGTAGATATGGGGTTTCATCATGTTGCCCAGGCTGCCTTGGCCTCCCAAAGTGCTGGGATTACAGGCGTGAGCTACTGTGCCCAGCCAACTTTCGTTTACGTTTTATAAAGACAAGCTCTCACTACGTCGTCCAGGCTAGTCTGGAACCCCTGAGTTGAAGCGATCCTCTCGCCTCTGCCTTCCAAGTGATTATGGAAGCATGATTACAGGCATTAGCCACTGTGTAAGGCCTATCATTTTCTTGAAAGTTTGTCCATGTTTTTCAGCTCATTTAGCATCCTGTTTTACAGTATTTAGTAAGTCTAACTCTTTCTCAGGGATAGTTTGTTTATTTTTCCTTTGAATGGGCTATATTTTCCTGTTTCTTTATATGCCTTGTGATTTTTTTTGTTGGAAACTGCACATTTGAATTTTACAATGTGGTAACTCTGGAGATCAAATTCTCCTTTCCCAGGATTTGCTGTTTTATTTAAAATGTAATTTCATTGTTTATATTTGCAAGGTGTTTCTGTACCAGGGATCAGCCTGAGGTGTAAACTTCCGGTCTTTACAGGTATTTTCTAAGCCTGTAAATTTCATGGATGTGAAAACATCTCCTTGTATATGTGGTTACTTTTGAATGTCCTGACCTGGCTCCCAAAGTGGGGGGTTGGCTGGGTGGGGGAAAGAAGTGTGTTTGTGTGATGGGGGAGAAGGGAGGAGGCACTAGATCTTTGTTTTTATTTTATTTAATATTTTTTTTCTTCTCCTCACTAATCAGCAATGAAGGCAATGGCCCTTTAAATCTTTAAAAGTCACTTCAGCCTCAAGTGGAGGGGCTTGTAACAATGGCAGTGGGGTTTGCAACAATGGCTCACCATAGGCTGTATGGCTGCACTTCTATGATCAGAAGCAGTAATTAGCTACCAGAGCAAAGATCCCTGATATCTGGAGGACAGAATCCTTATTGTCCACTCTGGCTCCCACAAACCCTATGCAAGCTGCTTGAAAAATGTGTGCATGGCTACATGCTATGGGGCTGAGGGTAGAGAAATAGATAGTTGCTAACATATTAAGAGCTGAAATTAACCTTTCAAACCTTCCCCTGGAAGTTATAAGCTTTCAATAGACTTCAGAGTTCCAAAACCGATCAAAATGGTGAATAAATTTCCAAAATAGTAACATCAGATGGTCAGTGCAGTTGTTGTCTGAGTGCACACCACCATGCCCAGCTATTTTTTTTTTTGTATTTTTAGTGGAGACAGGGTCTCACCATGTTGCCCAGGCTGGTCTTGAACTCCTGAACTCAAGCAATCCGCCCACCGAGGCCTCCTGAAGTGCTGGGATTATAGTTGCCAGCCACTGTGCCCCACCCTCTATCTTTTTTGAGTTTAACTGACTGATATTTTTCTAATTTGTCAAAATCTTAGAATTTCAACTTTCCTAATACTTGATTTTCTACATTCTTTCCTAACATTTAAAGCTACGTATATTCCTTCAACAAAGCCACAGCAGCGTCCAAACTCATCACTGGGCAATTCATTACTATTTAGATCAAAACATCAATTAATTTATTCTGTGATTTCTTCGACTCACTCTGAAGAATAATGCTTAATTTCCAAATAAATGAGAATTTTCTAGTTATCTTTTAATTACTGGTTTCCATCTAAATTTCATTATGGTCAGAGAATATTTGTTTTCAATCATTTGAAATTTATAATCCAGCATACGATCAGTTTTGGAATTGTTTCATGCGCACTTAAAATTGATATGCATTTTGCAGATGTTGAGTGCAATATTTAACACGTCAAGTAGGTAAAGCAGTATTTAACATACGTCAAATAGGTAAAGTTCTACATTTGCGTTACTCTGTACCTTCACTGATTTTTTGTTTTCTTATTTAATTGTTTCCTGACAGATGTGTTAGGTTCCCCTGGATGATTTTGGAATTACCTTTTTGCCCCTAGGCAGCTGTCAATTTGTACTTTATATATTTTGAGAATGCTATCAAGTACAAACAAATGTATAAACAGATCTTCCTGTTGGAGTGAATTTTTTACTTTACGAAATGTCACTCTTTATCTCCAGTAATACTTCTTGCTTTGAAGAATTCTTTGATGATAATATAAAAATCAGCCTTGTTTTGGTTAATGTTAGCATGGTACATCTTTTTCTATTCTCTTACTTTCGATCTTCCCACAGGAAGGTGTGTCTGATGAAAGCAACATATAATTTACTTTTTTCTTCATCCATTCTGACAATCCTTGTCTTTTAATTGGAACATTTAGTCTAGTAGTCTAATATTTGCCTTAGTTTAAACCATCTCACTATTTATATGGGTTTGCCTCACCTGTTCTATGTTTCTATTTGCTCTTTCTTAATTTTTACTTAGATTCTATTTTTTTGTCCCCCTAAAGTATTAGGTTATGGTTACATATTCTATTATTCTCTTAATGGTTACTTGAGAGTTGTGTTGCATACTTCAGTAGCCATTAGCCACATGGGGCTATTCTAATACATGTTACCTTATACTTTAGTAATATTAATAATGATGATTACAATGACAATTTATAACCTATAGTGCTTATTTAATCCTTAGCACATAATCTGAGGTGAATAAACACATTATTATTTCAATTTTATAGATAAATAAAATGAGATGCAGGGAGAGTAAAAACCCTACAGTGACTGAATTTGTACTCAGAGGGTATGCCTTAGGCATTTACACTTACATGATATTTTCCATGGATTTAGGTTTAATAAAAATGGAGATAGGGTAAAGTTGTGCAATCTGTAATCTCTTTATGGCATTTCCAGACACATCAAGGATACAGTGTTTGCCCTAAAATAACGGGAACAAAGAAAAAAAAAAAGTGAACCAAATATTCTCAATAATATCAAAGGTACATTTCCTACATGTAAAAGTCTAAATTATGATATGTTTGGATCCTTGTTCACTTTCAGCAAACCTGTCATTTCTCTCAGCAAACTTTAGACAGTAAATGAAATGGCTGATTATGCATAATTAATTTGCCATTTTCAAACAAATGTTATATTTAAAAAGGAAAGAAAATACAGTTCCTAGTTTTCATAGATCAGTAATCTCTCAAAATGGTGAACAACAGAGTTCCCCACTCCCTTTTTTTAAGATTTAAGAGACAGGGTCTTGCTCTGTTGCCTAGGCTGGTCGGTCTTGAACTCCTGGGACTCAAGCAATCCTCCCACCCTAGCCTCCCAAAGTGCTGGGATTTATAGGTATGAGCCACTGTGCCAGGCCCAGGTTCCTATTGTTCATTTTGCCAAGAAAAGGCATTTATAAAGACTCCAAACTATCATCTCCCCATAGCTATCATTTCATAAAAGATAACAATTCCTAGAGTAAGGGCAAATATTTTAAACAAATGCATTTGTGAAACCTCATCACTACTACTCAATTCTTCTATTTCTCATTTTATTAGGGACTGATAAAAATTATCATAAACTAGCATATGGGACCCCAATTCTGGGTTTAAGTGGGAAGGTTAAATTTACTGACAAAGGCTACTTAGGTTTTTAATACAGATGAAAATTTCCATGTTAAGCAGAGAAGTACTTATTATTTACGACATTTTTCTTATAATACATTTGTAATCAGGCCCTTGCCCATAATGCCACTTCAGTTTTTTGTTTGTTTTTGAGACAGAGTCTCGCCACGTCACCCAGACTTGAATGCAGTGGCACAATCTTGGCTTACTGAAACCTCCGTCTCTTGGGTTTGAGTGATTCTTTTGCTTTAGCCTTCCTAGTAGCTGAGGTAACAGGTGCGCACCACCACGTGTGGCCAACTTTTGTGTTTTTTGTACAGATGGGGTTTCACCATGTTGGTCAGGCTGGTCTCAAATTCCTGACCTTTGGTGATCCATCCACCTTGCCCTCCCAAAGTGCTGGATTTTTTTGTTTTTTTTAGATGGAGTTTCACTCTTAGTGCCCAGGCTGGAGTGCAATGGCGTGATCTCGGCTCACCACAACCTCTGCCTCCTGGGTTCAAGTGATTCTTCTGCCTCAGCCTGTCAAGTAGCATGCACCACCATACCTGGCTAATTTTGTATTTTTAGTAGACACGGGGTTTCCCCATGTTGGTCAGGCAGGTCTTGAATTCCCAACCTCAGGTGATCTGCCTGCCTTGGCCTCCCAAAGTGCTGGGATTACAGGTGTGAGCCCCTGTGCTGGGCCCCATAATGCAACTTCTAATCCAAGTACTTGAGTCCAAGTCAATACATGATAATGTCAATTTGATGGGCAAATTTACAATAAAAAATTTAATACTGTAAAATACTCCAAACATAAATAATAGACACCATAAACCCATTGTCTACTTTTACCAGATATATTTTACATGACTGCTTAAAAATTTTAGTAAGTTGATACTGAAATATTAATATTCTACCATGTTTGCTTTATCTCTTTACATATATATACATAATAGTTTGAGAATCAATTGCATAATGTTCCTTTACCTCATATTTCTTAAAAACAATGGCATCTCTTACATAATCATGATTTGATTCCAACTGGCCATCTAATATTCCTTATTGGAAAAGAATAAAAAAATTTCCTGGTCCAGGATCCAATTTAGGTTCACAGGATCACACATTATATTTAGTTGTGAAGTCTCCTTAGTCTCTGTCAATCTGGCACAGTTCCTCAGTCTTTGTCTTTCTTGATCTTGTTATTTTTGAAGAGTAGAAAACATTTACGTCATAGGATATGCCTCAACCTGGGTTTGCATGTTTCCTCACTCTTGGATGGTAGGTTACATATTTTTGACAGTAATAATACCACAGACATAATGTTGTGTCCTTCTCAGTCTTATCTGGGAGGCGATATTAGGTCTATTTGTCCCACTATTAGTGATGCTAATTTTGATCACTTGTTTAAGGTTTTATCTGGTAGGTATCTCCACTGTAAAATTATCAAAATTATTATTTTTGCCTTTGTAACTGGTATTTTGGGGGCAGACACTTTGAGACTATATAAATATCCCATTTTTCATCAAATTTTCACTAATTTTAGAATACATTGATGGTTTTTGCCTGAAACAATCATTACCATGTGGTTTTCAAAAGATTTTCCAATGTAATCATTTCTTCTACCTTGATTAGTAGACAGATAGAAGGATAGTTCCCTGCTATCCACTTATTTACTCACATACAGATGCTCTCTGACTTATGATGGGAGTTTCATCCCAAAATACCCATCACTAGTTTAAAGTACTATAAACTGAAAATGTGTTTAATATACCTAACCTACTGAACAACATAGCTTAGCCTAGATTACCTTAATCATGCTCAGAACACTTATCCTACAGTTGGACAAAATCATCCAACGTAACTGTTTCATAATTAAGTGTTGAATTTTTCATGTAATTCACTGACTACTGTACTACAAGTGAAAAACAGAATGGTTGTATAGTACTTCAAATATGGCTGCTACTGAATATGCATCATTTTTACACCACTGTAAAGTTGAACCATGCTAAGTTGGGGGCCATCTGTGTTTATGTCATTATGGACTCTAAAATTTTTATTTTACTCTATGTATTATAATCTTTATTATCACTTATTCTGATATTCAAATTATCTCAGACTTGGCCAGTGGGGAACTCTACAGCTTGGTTCCTGTGTCTTTTTATATATCCTCATCATTGAGTGCTTCCTTATTTTTCAGGAAGCAAATGTTTTTATAGGATCATCTTGAACTTTTCCAGTCCTGGCCCCAGAATCAGCCATTTATCTAAAGAGTCCTAGATCTTTTAAATAAAGAATTATATTTAGAAGCCAACATCTGGGCAACAGATATTCTCATTGCTTATTGAGTGTTACTTTTAGGTCTTCTCAATGGATAGAGCAAATAAACATATATGTCTATACATATAAATACACATCTATTTCTCTATCTACTCTATTACAATTCATGGGTTCATAGTCATAGCTCTAATCGTCTAGTATTTCCAATCCAATTATCACAGAGTTCATTTTACCTTCTCCCTTTTTCTGACAGGCAAGCCCCACTTTCACTACTGTCAGTATATTAGTTTACTTGATCAACCCCAGAATATATATTAGTTTCAGAACTACAAGCCCATACACTGCACACAACAAACCTACTAATTAGAGTTTGATTTTGTTTACAGATCTTTCTGTTTTCAGCTTGTGTTAAAGAATCTCTGGGATTAAGAATTCTCTCCTTCTCAATGTAGTTAAGTTATTCATCTGAAATACAGTCAGGTTTATTTAGTTTCTATTTGTATATCATTTTGCTTTCCCCCATCTTTCTTTGATTTTATTTTTGAGTTTTAAAAATATGTAAAATATTAACATATTTTCTAAAATTAAAATAATACAAATATGTATGCTCAGAGAAATGTCGTACCTAATCCTTTCCAATCCATTCCAAATTCCCCATCCTTTCTACTTCCCTCTGTAGGTAACCAATCTCATCAAGTTCTGATTTACCTTTCCTGTGTTTGTTTTCATACAACTGAGTAGAGATATCTATTTTCCCATTTTCTTTTATCAGTTCAGATACCTTCTTTTTTTTTTTTTTTTGAGACGAGTTTCGCTCTTATTACCCAGGCTGGAGTGCAATGGCTCAATCTCAGCTCACCACAACCTCTGCCTCCTGGGTTTTGGCAATTCTCCTGCCTCAGCCTCCCGAGTAGCTGGGATTACAGGCGTGCGCCACCATGCCCAGCTAATTTTTTGTATTTTTAGTAGAGACGGGGTTTCACCATGTTGACCAGGATGGTCTCGATCTCTTGACCTCGTGATCCACCCGCCTCGGCCTCCCAAAGTGCTGGGATTACAGGCTTGAGCCACCGCACCCGGCCCCAGATACCTTCTTTATTAACAGTTTTAGAGAACTTCATTTTGTGAATGTAAAATTAATTGTTCAATCACTCTTTTATCTGGGCATTTAGATAGTTTTCAGTATCTCACAATTATAAACAATGCTACAATAAATGCCCCTTTGCCCATGTATTTTCATACTGTTGGGGGTATCTCTGGAATAAATTCCTAGACGTGGAATGCTGGGCTGAAGGATAGCTGCTGGATATTGCCAAATACCCTTCCAAAGGCAGCACCAGTTTGCATCTCCACCAGCAATGCACGACTGTCTGTTTGCTCTCAGCCTCACCAAGAAAATGTCTTCATATTTCTCCCCCAGTAGGATAGGGGAAAAATGGAATTTAGAGTAATTTTAATTTACCTTTCTTTCTTTTTTTTTTTTTTTTTTTTGAGATGGAGTCTTTCTCTGTTGCCCAGGCTGGAGTGCAGTGGTGTGGTCTTGGATCACTGCAACCTCTGTCTACTGGGTTCAAGTGATTCTCCTGCCTCAGTCTCCCAAGTAGCTGGAATTACAGGTGTGTACCACCACATCTGGCTGATTTTTGTATTTTTAGTAGAGATGGGGTTTCACCACGTTGGCCAGGCTGTTCTTGAACTACTAATCTCAGGTGATCTACCCGCCCTGGTCTCCCAAAGAGCTGGTATTACCCGTGGGCCACCATGCCCAGCCAATTTACATTTCTTTAATAATGACTATGGCTGGACATCATTTCCTCTGTACAGAGGCCATTTTTATATTGTATTTTTGTGTGAACCATGTATTCTCATCTTTTGTCCATTTTTTTTCTCTTAGGTTTCTGGCCTCTATTCCCTGTTTTTATGAGGTCTTTACATAGTGGGACTATCAGCCCCTTTCTTGCAAGGTTTTTCCTCTGTCAGTTGCCTTTTGACATTGTTAATGGTATTTTCCAGTAGTTTTTGGAAAAGTTCTTTCGCCATAAATTAAGTTAAAAAAATTTTTTTTTTTGAGACAGAGTCTTGCTCTGTCACCCAGGGTGGAGTATACTGGCGCGATCTCTGCTCAATGCAACCTCCACCTCCCGGGTTCGAGCAATTCTCCTGCCTCAGCCTCTCGAGTAGCTGGGACTACAGGCATGAGCCACCACGCTCGGCTAATTTTTGTATTTTTAGTAGAGACGGGGTTTCATCATGTTGGTCAGGCTGGTCTTGAACTCCTGACCTCAGGTGATCTGTCTGCTTTGGCCTCCCAAAGTGTTGGGATCATAGGGGTGAGCGACCATGCCTGGTCGGTTTTAAAAAAATTAAGTGGTCAGATTCTTTATTTCTTTTCTTTTCCCTCCCTCCCTCCCTTTTTCTTTCTTCTCTCTTTCCCCCTCCCTCTTTCTCTGTCTTTCTTTCCTTTTTTTCCTTCCTTCCTGTCTTTCTTGGTCTATCTCTAGCAAATGACCTTACAATGATAACTTCTCCTCTCACTTTGTCTACCTATTTTATTGTCTATGCACTTTCCTAGGTCACGTAAAATTAAATATTTAGATAAACAAATTCATTACATTAATAAAACTGATCAGTGCTGTATCTACTCTACCACTCTTTCATTCTGTCAAAGGCATATCTGATTAGAAGCTATATTCTGGGGTTAGTTTGATGCTTACCTTTTCTGCTACTTCTCGCACAGACTGAACACTTGTTCCATATAGATGATTGTTATACTGACCAGCTTCAATGAATTTATGTTCTTGGATATCTTTTTCCATCTGCTCTCTTGAAGTCACAAAATGATAATCTCTTCCATCTACTTCATAATCTCGCTTTGGTCTAGTTGTATCTTTAACAGAAGAAAACTTGGGGAAGTGTTTAATATTTAAAAAAAACCCCACAATAAATCCATTTTCCACTTTATCATTGTTTTGTAAAGTTCAACAGATCAAATTAATTTAAATCTGAGAAAGGACAATAATATGGAGGATAAAAGAGTAACTGATAAAATAAGTACAAACCATTAAAAAAAGGTTATATTTATTTTTCCCACACATAGTGACAGGAAATGTTAAGAATAACAATTAATAATTAAATAATTAAATGTTTTTGTTTGGGTTACTCACGAGGAACACAAGATCCAAATTTATCAGGAAATTCTGAGATCAAGTCATCATTTATCCTGTCTTTCATAGGTCCCAATATGATCACTGGTCGAGTATAATTAACTATAAAGATAAACTGCATGTTAAAAGGAATAAACATTTAACAAATATTGATATATTTTATTTCACCAGAGAACAAAAATATCCGTAACTGTTACAAAGAATTTTTTTCTTCCTCCTCCATCTTCCTCTTCCGTCAACCAAAGATGCCTAATTTGCTGTTTTATAATCTTGACTAAGATCTTAAAGTTTACTCAGTCTCCTGCTAGAAGTCATACACTTGATAATTCAAAGTTAAATTTGGTAGTTTAGCAGATTATGTTTATTTACATTGCAAATGACAGAATAACATATAGTGTTTTACAGACAGTTTTGAAGTAGAAATTGTAAGGAAGCAGAGCAAAGAAGGGCAGAAGAGAAATTAGATGTAGGAAGTGATATAATCACAGTAGTGTTTTAGAAAGATGATCTAAAGAAGTGTAAACTCTAGGTTGCGTAAGATCGTGCTGGAAGAATGGAGATGGGGAGTGAGGCCGAGAACTAACATTGTGGTAGAAGGGACGAAGAGCAGGTCATAAATAAGAAAGAAGTACAATAGTGCCTGGAACCTGATTAGCTGAGGAGCATGAGGAACAGAGAAGGGTCAAAGATGCTCCCAAGATTTTCAAAAAAGGGTTATTTGGAAGATAGCGATGTTAACAAGAACACTTGAAAAAAATTGCTTAGGAAATAAAACACAAATATAAAAGTCAATATGAAATGACTAGATTCTAATATACTATGGAATAAACTATGTTTCATAAAATACATGTAGTAAATTTCTACATATAACATTTTTGGGGGGTATTAGACTTTTTTCCCCCAAATTAAAAATATATTATTCTAGAAGATTATAAAATATGAATAGGCTTCACAAACCTTCTTGCTGATTCACTGGTTCATAAGATAAGACGTACTCTTCTTGACCACCTATTAGAAAGTGAAGGCACAGATGAAAAATACATAAAGATAACTGATGCTAGTCTAATTCTTCATAAACAACATATACATTACTATAACTTTCCTAAGAAAATGGCAAAGATATGGAAAGAGGTACTTTGTGGCAAGATTTAGTAAAAAAAAAATAAATAAAAGTGGCAAATCATAAAGTCATAAAAGTGAGTTTGCTAAATGTAAAACAAAATATAAATGAGCTTTTAAATCAATAAATAATCATCAAATCTAAAATCTTCATTTGTGATACTACGTGCTACTTCTTTATTTAGAATTTAAGAATTATTAACTCTGTTAAAGATTAATGCTTTAATGAACAGTTCTATCTATATATATATATACATCTTAGGTAATTGTTACTATTAAAAATATGCTACTTTTTTCACCAACTATAATACTGAAAACAGTATATTTAAAAAAATTACAACTACCTTAAAATTTAAAATTATAAACACAAAGGTAAAACTATTGTCACTATTTCACTGATGAAAAAATTCACAAATTAAACTTTGTAAAAAATAAGAAATTTAATGTGAATCAAAAAGAGCTTTAGACAAAACTAAATCCTTCCAATAAAAAACCACATGATAGTAAAGGAGATAAATATATTCTGCTTTGAACTTAAAAGCATACAAGAAGTTAAAGCTTCCAAATTAAAGATTTAGAGCTTAGGATATATTCTAAATTAAAGAGTCTACAAATTATATCTGAATCCAATGAAAATAACTACAAAATTAAAAACTCTAGCAGTTTTTAACTAATACATATCCCCCTTGCCCCCACACCCAAAATTAGAAAAGACTGTGTTAACCCAAGTGGTTCAATGAAAACAATCAATACTGGATAATGTATTTGAAGACTTTTTCTTTAATTATCAAGATCCTATATTAATTTTACCATGAATTTTGCAATTGTTTTATATTATATGTATGTAGCTGCAGTCTTTTAAATCCATATATTGACATAAACATTCTTTTCTGCTTTAAGTGTGTATTTCTTTGTTTTTAATTTTATTATCGAAGTATATAAAACCAATATAAACTTTTTTAAATTATTGGATGTAAAACATGGCTTACATACTAGCAAACACATGCAATTGGAATATTCCACTCCTTAATAATTCATGCAAATGGTGAGACAGACAGTATATACTTTCATTACCTCTTTTTAGCCTAGAAAGCCACTCCACTACTCTATAGTGGATTCTGGTTATAAGCAATAAAATGCTGAAATACAAGAAATCATTTCCACACCAAAAAAAAATTAAGTAACTATTATGTAGAAAAATAATCAACCAAATGAGTGATGGTTAAAAGTATATACTGTCAACATGAAAAAGTATTAGGGACTGATATTAACAGGATGGACCTTTTGAGCAGCCGTACTCATCTGTAATCAAGATTACTTTCATTTTAGACAGCAGTAAAAAAAAAAAAGTTAGAAAAGCAATTTTAATTTTTAAGGTGCTACAAATGATAACATTATGTACTTTCCCCTTCTCCCACACCCAAATCTGTTTAAAAACATCACATGCTTGTGTAGTTCACTTAATAAAACCAAGAATGTAATATAAAACATCAAAAGAGAAATTAGCATTATTTTCTGAGCAATCATTGAAAATGTTTCCTTCCTTATTTCTTCTGTTCACCAAGTGCTGGTGATAAACAATGACTTGATCCAGAACAGTATTGGTAAAATAATGAAAACAGAAATAAAGCTAATTATAATTTAGCATTACTAAAAAATATTATTTTAGCACTCATGTTAAAAACAGAATTCAACAAAATGTCAAAATATAAGTTTTCCCCCATATAAGTATTTACCTTTTATAAAAAATATATATACACACATATATGTACTATGTACACAAATAATACTATTTTTAGTATTTTATTAAAATTTTATAAATTAACCTCTACATATTATGATTTTTTTCAAGCACAAAATTTTACTTGGCTCTTCCTGATTTTAATATCAATCATATTAACTTTAGGGTTTTAGAACATATTACTAAGAATCCCTCCACCCCTGCTGAGGATTTACTACTTGAAATTATAAAAGAACAAGTAACTTAAGACACTTACGGTAACTACTTTCACTATCGCTGGCATTAGAAGTTACATGCTCTGAAATTGCAGGACAATGGAAGACAAATAAAGAAAACACAGTGTCATGAGTTTAAAAAGCTGATAAAAGCAAATAATCAAAATAAAAGAGGGTGACATAAAATGTTGAGGTATAAGCCATATATAACAAAATAATTTTTTAATTTAAAAGCATTTTTTCTTTTCTTTGAAAGGTTTAATTTTTTCAAATAAATATGTATTAGCAAGGGAAAACACCTGTAATTAAGGACAGTGCCTTATTTTTGTACAACACAGTTTATGAACAAGTCTCTACTATAAATAGCGAGTAGAATATAACAAAGGCAAAATGATCCTGAATTAGTCTAAATGTAGATATACAACCCAAAGGGAAAATATTGTTGGCACTATCTAATTCAGTCTTTGAAACAGCAGTAACTAGCAAAGGGGACAAACTATATTTAAGGAAATAGATCCTCATTTTAATGAAGGGAGGTCTTTGTAATTAAAAATAAATAGACGATGTTATTTATAGTCCAGCTCCACTCCTGTTTCTGAAAATGAAAGTCAATTTTTCTGAGATCATACAGATGAAGCATTTTAGAAGTCATAAATTCAGATGTCTCAAAAGAGTCAGCTGGAAGAGAATATACCAATTGCGGCATTGCATTTTAAAACCAACTAATATTTCTCAGAAACTCTGCTTTGATAAAATCGACAGTGGCTGTTTTGCAAAACATAAAAAAGACAATGAAAACAAATACGCCCAGCCAAAAACTGCCTGGTCCTTCCTTAAAAGTGACCCCATTTCACAACTTTATTGATTAGTATACAATAGGCACTCTTCTCATCCACTTAAATGTAATCTCAAGTATTCTCTCAATAAGTATCTCCCTTGAATTTTAAAAAAAACTAATACTTTTATTTCTAAAAAAATAAAATGTTCAATGAGACAGGGAAACCTAAATTTTAATTTTAACTTTTTTCTTTTTTTTTTAAATTAAAGGGACAGGGCCTCACTCTGTTGCCCAGGTAGGAGTGCATTGGTATGAATATAGCTCACTACAGCCCCGACCTCTTCTCCGGGGCTTCTGTGATCCTCCCATCTTAGCCCAGATTGGCTGGGAGTACAGGTATGTGCTACCAGACCCTGCTAATTTTTTTTTTTTTTAAGATAGGTCTCACTATGTTTCCCAGCGTGGTCTCAAACTCCTGGCCTCAAGCAATCCTCCCATCTCAGCCTCCCAAAGTACTGGGATTACAGGTATGAGTCACCACACCCAGCTGGAATTCTTTTTTTTTGTTTTTTTGAGACAGTCTCCCTCTGTTGCCCAGGCTGAAGTGCAATCACACGATCTCAGCTCACTGTAACTCCACCTTCTAGGTTTAAGCAATTCAATTCTTATGTCTCAGCCACCTGAGTAGCTGGGACTACAGGTACACACCACCATGCCTGGCTAAGTTTTCCTTTTTTTTTTTATTAAGACAGAGTTTAGCTCTTGTTGCCCAGGCTGGAGTGCAACGGCGTGATCTTGGCTCACTGCAACCTCTGCCTCCCAGATTCAAGCAATTTTCCTGTCTCAGCCTCTCAAGTAGCTGGGATTACAGGCATGTGCCATCACGCCTGGCTAATTTTTTGTATTTTTAGTAGAGACAGGGGTTTCTCCATGTTGGTCAGGCTGGTCTCGAACTACTGACCTCAGATGTGAGCCATTGCGCCTTGCCTAATTTTTCTGTTTTTAGTAGAGACCGGTTTCACCATGTTGGCCAGGCTGGTATTGAACTCCTGAGCTCATGTGATCCACCCACGTCAGCCTCCCAAAGGGCTGAGATTACAGGCATGAGTCACTTCGCCCAGCTGGAAATACATTTTTTTAGGGTTAAAAAAAAATGTTTGAAGCTAGGCATGGTGGTTCATGCCTATAATCCCAGCACTTTGGGAAGGTGACGCAGAAGGATCACTTTAAGACCAGGAGTTCGAGAACATCTTGGGCAACATGGAGAGACACTTTGTGGGAGAAAAAAAAAAAAAATTAGCTGGGCCTGGTGGTGCCATGTCTGTAGTTCTAGCCATTTGGGAGAATGAGGCAGGAGGACTGCTGGAGCCCAAGGGTTCCAGGCTGCAGTGAGCTAGGATCATATCACTACTCCAGTGTCGATGACACTGTGAGATCCTGTCTCTAAGAAACAAAGACAAAACAGAAAATGTTTGAAGATAAATATCTGCTATACCATACCACCCAGAGAGTCTCCTAAAATCAAGTAGCACTAGTGAAATGTTCAAAGAATGGCTGAACTTAAGATTTCAAATCAAATAAAAGGATTCTTGAATTGGTATTATAGTGAAAAATGAGTCTGTTATTCTAACTTTCAAAGATAAGCTATAACTTCCTTAATCTTGAATACATACATTTTAAATAAAGCAAGGACTTTAAAAATGCAAGCAGAATTCACTAATATATGTAAGCATATGTAAAATGGTAGGTTTTAAAAAAGCTTATATTAAAATATTTCTTTCCATGTCACCACATGGGCTTTATAGCAATAATAAAAAATGGGTGTATAATATTCTATTAGATTGATAAATTATTTACCTTGCTATTTATTTTTTAGTTTTTTATTCACTTTAAACTGTTTTTCACAAGTATCAACAATTATGGAAGTCTTCATTTATATACCTTTTAACCTTTTGTCCTATTTCCTTAAATGTCATTCCCAGAAGCATGCCACATTAAAAAAAGAGTTCTGTTTATATTAGGATTGGCATTACCCTCTGCAATCTCTAGTTTGTAAACTAAAGAAAAATTAGTTATTGCAATGGGGTGAGGGGAGGGGAGTATAAGTGGAGTACAGAAGAAACAGAATTGGTAAATTTTTAGTTGACAATTATGAAAGTAGGATAAACACTTACAGGGTTTATTTTTACCACTCTTCTACTATTGAATATATTTGACATTTATATAACAAAAACTTTAGAGTTACTAAAATCTCTTCACTCTTTTTTTGGGATGTCTCCTACTTACCTTAAATACTCTAAGATTGCTAAAAGCTACAGAACAATCAAATTCTGCAAGTTCTTTCAAATATCATTTTACTTTGCTCCTCTACAGTTAAACTTCACGACTCAAAGTAGAGTCCTTAGAATAGCATCATAGTTGTTCGTAATGTTGTTAGAAAAATAAAATGTTTTTCTTTTAATAATTGAAAAAGTTCCTCTTCAGAGCATTTTACCAAAGAAGACAGTCAAATAATCGATAAACATATAAAAAAGTATTAAAGTTAATTACTTGTCAGGGAAATGCAAATTAAAACCACAACAGATATCTCTACCATCCACCAGAATGGCTAAAATGAAAAATCAAAACAGACATGTCAAGCATAGACAATGATATGTAGCAACGAGAGTGTATATATTAGAAATGGGGCTGGGTGCAGTGGCTCAAGCCTGTAATCCCAGCACTGTGGGAGGCCAAGGCGGGTGGATCACAAGGTCAAGAGATCGAGACCATCCTGGTCAACATGGTGAAACCCCGTCTCTACTGAAAATACAAAAAATTAGCTGGGCATGATGGCGCATGCCTGTAATCCCAGCTACTCGGGAGGCTGAGGCAGGAGAATTGCCTGAACCCAGGAGGCGGAGGTTGCGGTGAGCCGAGATCGCGCCATTGCACTGCAGCCTGGGTAACAACAGTGAAACTCTGTCTCAAAAAAAAAAAAAAAAAGCTACTTTGGAAAACTATTTGGCAATATCTACTAAGGCTGGACAAATGTATATCCATATAACCCAGCAATTCCTTTCCTAGGTATCTCCCCAACAGAAAGGCATTATGTGCTTACCAAAACACATGTATAAGAATGTTTGAAGCAAAACTATTTAAAATAGCTCCAAACATGTTTATTAACAAGTCTGAGGCAATATATGTACAGTTTCCTATTTTACTTTTTTCATTTATAGTGAGCATTTCCCCATGTCATTATCTTTAAATATGATTTCAATGGTTATATAATATTACATCATACGGGTAAATCATACTTCATTAGCCATTTCCTGTTAAGATGTTTTAAGATATTTTTAAATTTTTGCTGTTATTACTAAATAATATTATAATAAGCATTCTGATACATAAGGCTTTATTTCCATCTCTAATTACACTCAGGATAAATTCTATGAAGAGGATTTAGCGGGTCAAAAGATGTGCTTTTTCAGAAAGGCTGTGCCAATTTACACTCTCAACTGTAGTACAATAATAGGCATTTAGCAGAACTCTCTCCATCATAGGTTTTCCTTTTAAACAAAAGTTTGCCAAAGTGACAGGTAAAACATCATTTTGTTTATCATTACCAGGGAAATCATTTTTTTATATGCTTATTTCATTTGCTTATCTTCTGAGCACTCTTATCACATCTTGTCCAGTTTTCTAATGGAGAGTTAACTTGTTTCTTATCTGCTAAAAATTCATAGTGTAAGGATATTATCCCTGTGACATACATGATACAAATATATTCTTCAAGATTTTATTTATGATAGTTGTTTTTTTTGAGGCAGAGTTTCGCTCTTGTTATCCAGGCTGGAGTGCAATGGCGTGATCTCGGCTCACCACAACCTCTGCCTCCTGGGTTCAGGCAATTCTCCTGCCTCAGCCTCCTGAGTAGCTGGGATTACAGGCACCCACCACCATGCCCAGCTAATTTTTTGTATTTTTAGTAGAGACGGGGTTTCACCATGTTGACCAGGATGGTCTCGATCTCTTGAACCTCGTGATCCACCTGCCTCGGCCTCCCAAAGTGCTGGGATTACAGGCGTAAGCCACTGCGCCCGGCCTCTTTTTTTTTTTTTTTTTTAAGACAGTCTCACTCTGTCGCCTAGGCTGGAGTGCAGCTGTGTGACCTCAGCTCACTGCAACCTTCAACTCCCACATTCAAGCCATTCTCCTGCCTCAGCCTCCCACGTAGCTGGGATTACAGGTATGCACCACTACACCCGGTTAATTTTTGTACTTTTAGTAGAGATAGGGTTTCACCATGTTGGCCAGGCTGATCTTAAATTCCTGACCTCAGGTGATCTGCTGGCCTCAGACTCCCAAAGTACTGGGATTACAGGTGTGAGCCACTGTACCCAGCCTGTTTATGATGTTTGATTTTAAATCTCTCTAACCAAGCTTTATCTTTGTACTCAAACATTTCTTCCTAATAGAATATATCATGTTTCTCTTCTGCTCTCCTCTAATACTACACCACCAATCTGAAGCAATGACACTACTCTTAAATCTTACTCGTAATGCAAATGAAAGTCAGTCTGGTTTTGGCATTTGCAAACTCTGCACAACTATGCATAAGTTCTTAAAATGAGAAGAAGGAAGACATGTAACAGAAAACCTATGCACCTGAGGAAATTTTTGAGGTGTTGTACAAAATGGAAAGTTGTAAAAATGGAAAGGCTACATGTAATAAGAACAAACTTTGTCTCAAACATCATGTCATCATTTCACTTCTAAGTACCTCATGTATCTTTTGAGTTATGTTTCCTTTTAGTCTCTGTCAAAGGAATCTTACCTAGTTTTAGTCCTTTGAGCTTCTTCAAAATTACCTCCTTATAAGCATAAAAGCTACACAGGTTTTTATTTCTAGCTTTTCACAAATGATGACTTAGTTGCATTCTTCCAAACTTCCACTGTACTCTCAGTTAGTTCTGCTTAGCAAAATTAGGTTTGGTAAAATAATTTCTCAGTTTTCTCTACTGTGAACAGGGCAAATCAATCATTTATTTGACTCTCTTCTTTTTAGAATAAAGAACAAATGAATTCATGTCTATACAAAGTATTCTATGGTATCACTTGTTTTTCCGTCCGCTCTTCAATTAAATACTTCATTTTTTTATAGGTTGTGTGAATTTACAGCAGATAGGAATTTTTTTCTTGATATTCAGAGTTATTCTATGACTCTTCAATTGGTTTGCTTCTCTAGAATAACTTAACCTTCTGTTTGGGATTCTTTCATGAGTTTTGCTCCAGTAAGGCCTGATGACTACCTGTATTAAGTTGCACTTATTTTCTTATATTCAAGTCTCTCAAAATTTTGCTTAGTTTATTCCCTATATTCTTAATTTTTGAATATAAATAACTGAGGCCACAAGTAATGTCCTTGAACACATTATTCTTCCCAGTATTTACTACCACATAATCATGGGCACCTTGTCAACTGCCTTATATCATCTATTTTACGTCATAACCTCCATCATATCCAGTTTTAGAATTTTACTAATATTTTTCTGTCTTATCTAACATTTTCTGAATAAAATCTTGATCTGATCATCAAGTTACCAGGTGAATAAATTCTTTTAATTCCCGTGAGATGAAGCACAGAAATCTATTATTCAAGAAATCTTGGGTCACTCTCCAGAAAATAAAATCCTTCTGAGTAATGTTTTCTGATAATCAGTTACCATTTTTCATATAATTTCTCTTCTAAAGTCCCAATCTTCAACTAGAACCAGGGATATAGGGCACTAAGGTGTCATTATCATCTATTATAACATCAATATGGGAACCAAATTCTTCATTTCATTTTTCTATGAGTTTCCTATGTCTTTGCTCACTTAACAGATAAGAAAAATCTGTGGGTCCATTTGTTGATCCATACCACCTCTAAAGTATGCTATCAATCTCAAGATAAATTCTATAGCATACATAACTTGTGGTATTTTCCAGTTTTAGAGGTTTTCATTGATAATTTTCTCCAAACGTAAGAGATTTAAAAAAGGGTGCCACTAGTGATAGGAAAGCTGTGGCCCTACTAAATCCTATAAAGGTACATGCAAAGATAACAAGTTGTGTCTAACAGAAAGAGTTGTACATAAACATATGGTCTTCAATCTAATACAAACTTAAATAATTATGGTTGAAATAAAAGTACCTACAGTTTAGATTAAAATCCCAGTATAAACTTAGCATAAATCAGAAAAATGTCTTATGTAAAATTTAATGTTTATTAATGTAGGTCTTAGAAAGTTAAAAGATACTGGCTATATGCTTAATGATCAGTGAATTACAAAGAAGTTTTCAAAATGTTTAATAATCTAAATAGAAAGAACCATTTAGAAAACATTAGATTAAAAGATTACTTCTATGAGTACTGTAACCTAAAGTTACTCAGTAATGTTTGGTAAATTTTCATAGTTAAGCAATTTGAAAACACACAAATTAAAAATTTTGTTTGCTAAAATGGCTTCTTGCTTCATTCATTCATTCCAATGTTTACTGAATGTCTTCTACATACTAGACCCTGTGTGAATCTTTATATGAAGATTAAGTAACTAGCTAGAAAATTAAACAGCAGCAGCAACAAAAACCAAAAACAAAGGCAACATCTTAGCTACAGGAAAAACAAAATAGTTCTTATACTCTTGTGGTAACTTACAACTTTCTCAAAAAAGAGATACACAATTTATCCCCTCAATAAACTGCTACTTGACTAGTATTCTAACTACTAATTGAGTAGTATTCTATTGTGTTTTATATTTTTATATTATAGTAATGCTTTTCTAACACATAATCAAAATAATTTTAAATTATTTTAACAACAACAAAAAAAGAGGGAACATAAAACTCCAAGGAAGCCTATTTCTACATTCTAATAATGAAGGCAGATAGTACTATTAAAAAAAACCCCTAAGATTCTTTATATTTTAAAAGTTCCTAGCAAAAGTAACTGTCATAAAAATTACAAAAAGGAAAATATAGTTATGAGCAGAGAATTCTTCAAATGACATGTGAAAAATAAAAAAAGTTATGTATTAGAGAAATAAAAGTCCCAAGCATGTGACAAACGTGATAAACATAAAAATTCTAAAAGCAATCTAAATCATACACCTCCTCATGTCAGAAAGGCACTACCATGAATCTCAAAATGTATCTGAATAAGGTAGGTCTGTAGATGGAGGTTAAAAAATAACTTGGGAGTATTTGATCACTTACTCAGGCCTTTTGATCCCATGTCGTCAGGGATCTCCTGTAGAGAGTAGTCCCCAGAGAGCAAGCAATAAAAAGATAATCAAAGAAAATAGTTGTCAGTAATGCATAAAATTGGTGCTACAGTAAGAGACAGTTCCAAGACCATTACAGGTACATGTATCTTACAGAGCATTTTTACAGATTTCTAGAACTTTCAAATGAGCTAGCTACTAACTATGATCTACCAAAAGAATGTAAGTTCTAGCATGAAGGCTGATTCAGGTAGAGAAGCAAAGTTTTAGAACATTTCTTGCTACTTTAAAAGTAAAATCCAGATTGTCTACATATAATGAAGAAAGAGGATAAAATGGAATGATTCTAGATAATTCAGTATCAAAGACTAGCAATGTTATATCTAGAAATCAATAGGTAGCTTCTCAGGTATTTATGTTCTTCCTCTAAAATATTCTTTGAATGCATGAATGTTAAGTGTTTTTCATAAAAATCTTTCCTTCAAATAATTTCACTTATTTATACATACTTATATGTTCAAGTTATAAACATATAACTTAAAAATGCTGTTTGCTTTAAATTAAGAATTCCTAAGTTGCCAGGAAAAGACTGGCATATAAATTAATTTATATCTGTTAAGTTGCCCTTGAAGACAATGAGCAACCTGTTGCAGCTCTTGAAACTGTCTCCACGGTAACAACCAACTGCAGGGCAGTAGGTCCCTCTACATTTTATTTTCAGTTGACCACTGGATCCACATACTTACGGTCAGCATCACTTGTTTCCTGCTCACTCTGGTCCTTGTTCTTGTAGAAGGGGAATTTTCGGGAAAAGAGGTTCTTTTTACGCTTGTCATTGAATGACTGCTGAAGAAGAGAAGGAGGGGCAAAACAAAGGGATGTCTACTGTCTGTGTGTACAAAGGCCCAGCCTAGCAGCTCTGTGGAAGCTGACTCCTATGACCACAGTGTGCAGTTTGTACATGAATTTTACTTTAATCTCATATAAAGTGAATTTCTACTTTTGCATAAATTCTAATATTTTGTAACTGAAAATACTTAAGAATTTCCAAGAGCATAGTTCACTTATACCTAAAAATAAAAATGCTACTTGACAAAGGCAAATCAGATTAATTACTACTACAGTACAAACCAGCTAACATTTGTTTATATTAATCCATATGTTTCCAGAAAAATTTCCAAGTACTAAGAGCTCTACAGCAAAAGTTATTTAATGTTACTTTGCTGCTCAATTACATTTTATTGATTAGGAAGTAATTTTCATTTTATTTTGGCCTGACCACAGTTATTTCTTTATCTCTTTTGTGGCTATGATGAACTAACAGAAAAGACATTATTTAAAAGGTAAACCAAAACGATTATGAGAAAGTTGCTAATGCTGAATACTTAAAAACAAATCTTTTTTTTTTTTTTTTCTTCCTGGAAGTGGATAAAAGGTAACTAAATGCTTATGAGCCAGAAAATGGGAAGAAAACTAAATCAATGCTATCTCTTAGCCAAGCAAGAAGTCAGAAGTCTGATCAATGTCAATGGTATCAGTACCGACTTATTTATTCTTAAGTTCTACTATACTTATCTATTTTTAAAAGTATATATTAGTAAAATAGAACATCTAATCCACTGGCACCATGTCCTTCATAGGGAATAAAAGGTTTGGTGTCCACCAAAGCCACAAAGGCAGTTAAGATTCTAACATTTTATACATAATTGTAACGTGAGAGTTGAATAGCTGATTTGATGTTCCATATTGCACAGATGTTGGAAAAAGTTATTTTTCCCTGAATGTCCCATTTGTGCATTCCTAGATTTATGATTATGTAGCACAAGAATGATAAGGCTATTAAAGAGAAATAGCTTCTTTTGTCATTTCTCTGTCACAGGCATTTATGTTTTGAAGGAAACAGGCTTACCTACCAGTGGCAAAAAGAATTATTATTTGTTGGAGGGGGAAGGGAAGAATAGAAAGAATAGAATTTTTTTTGTTCTGATTTTCTGCATTTATACATATCTTAAGATGCTATATTATTTATTATTTTGAAGTATATTGACAAGACCAGTGTTTTTGGCATGCCCTTATTTTAAGCATGTAATGCCAGATGATTAAGGTGAAGCAGCCAGGTGTAGGGTCTCGTATCTGTAATTCCAGCACTTTGGTAGGCTGAGGCAGGAGGATCGCTTGAGGCCAGGAGTTCAAAACCAGCCACGGCAACATGGCAAAACCCCATCTCAACAAAACAAAACAAACAAACAAACAAATAGCTGGGAGTGGTGGTGTGTGACTGTAGTCCCAGCTATTTGGAAGGCTGAGGCAGGAGAATCACTTGAACCCAGGAGTCTGAGGCTGCACTGAGCTATGTATGATCTATTGCACTCCAACCTGATAGAGTGAGACCTCATCTTTAAGAAAAAAAAAGTTAAGTAGATTAAAGTGACTTTTAGCTCAAATTCTATGACTTGAGAAGACTTATTTTGATAAAGATCTTTATAAAAACAAGGTTAAACTTTCATTTTTACCTTTTCATATAATTAATTCAGGATTAGTAAGTTCACAGTTCATTACCCAAGCAGACTGTCTTGATTTCAATCTTAAAGTTTGAAGGCTCTGAGGAACTAGATAAAAGAGAACTCTAAGTAGAAGTTAAAAATTCAATTGAGAGAAAAAGTATTATGGAGAAGTCTGGGCTTATAACTATTTTATAAACTGTCAAGTAGCATTATTTAAATAAATATCTGTGCTTAAATTCAAATTTTAGAAAAGAGAAAGTGTTTTAGTTGAAAAAAATTACGGCAATCTAATTTAGGGAAAATCTAAATCTTTTCATTCATAAGAATCAATGGTTTTGAATTTAGCAGTAATTTTTATAATATCTGATACAACTGATGTGTTTTTTATAAAAGTTTATTCAACCCTCTTACTGCATCTATAGTGGTCAGAGTCAGTTTCACAGCAAACAACCAAAAGAAATATGAAGTTTAAAATGTTTGATTTTTATTATCTTTGCAGTTAGCCAAAATGAGATATCATAAAGATATCATAGTATAAGGACAGAAAGAAATGCTTGTTAGTTAAGAAATGTATTAATTGTATCACATTTAATATCCTCCAGGTGAAGAACTTATTTAAAGTGAAAAAAATGCACAAGCAAACAAGACAAAAAGGTGTAGGGTAAACACAAAACTGAGGACTTGCTACCTCCACTTTCTCTGTATTTTCAATCGAAAGCACTACATTTAATACTTACTGTCATTAATGCAATATTGCAAGAGAGACAGTGTAATATAAGAATTGATAAAATATCACAAATTCATGATACATATATTATCTAAATATATAATTTCCACATGTAGTATTTCAAAACCACCAAATGAATGTTAGACATGTTAATGAGAACCTAAAACGTTATAAATCTGTAGTAAAAATAAAGTCCACAAATCACTACGTAAGGAAAGGAGGAGGAGGAGTAGGAAATGGTATTATAGAAAGAAATGCAGTTCTGATCAATGGCAAGCGTATTTTTACCCCACTCAGTATCATGCATAGTTTTGGTGCTGTGTTAGAACACAGTGACTCTGAAGAGTTGGTTACAGTCAACAAAAAGACTAAGATTTAAATACGTCGTTAATCCAGTTAACTTCTTACAGTATGAAAGAAAAGTTACAACATGCAGCCTCTTTTTCAATTTACTGATGGTATATTGTACTAAATCATTTTTAAAGATATACATAAAACAAGCATAAAAAATTCACATTTTTCGAATCTTGAGCATTTACCTGGGGGGTTTTTCCTCTAATACAAATTTCTATTTTAATATTGCTTCAGATCACACTATATAATTTAGTATTTTTCTGAAAGCTACAAATAAATTTTAAAGAAATTCATCTTTTTTTGTGTGTGTGTGGTTTTCCTCAGGATTTTTTATTATTTGTATGTGCGCTCTGGGGTACATGTGCACATCCTGCAGGACTGTTGCACAGATACATACATGCCATGGTGGTTTGCTGTCTCCATCCCCCCGCCCGTTGCCTACATCAGGCATTTCTCCGGGTGTTATCCCTCCCCAGGAATTTATCATTTCTAAAAAGTTGAATGTAACATACAATTTACTCAGATTTAATTTCTTGGACGAAAGATACTCCTCATCTTTTAAATTTTAAACCTTTAAGTTTGAGTGCTTAGTGATACCAGAGATGTACAGAGAGTAAATTTATTTGCTGAGTTAACATTCCACATTCATTTCAAACATGATCAAAAGACTCAGTTCAGGGTTATTAACAATTACATACATAATATAGGATGAAGCCTGTACCATCTTTCTCATCTACTGACAGCCCAAATATTTAGATGCAAGCAGAAGGACTTAAAGTGAAGGAAAAATAAATACGTTTCTAAAGTACATATGAAAGAACTGATATATTTCTTTCCCTTTTTTTTTTCTCCCAGACAGGGTCTCACTCTGTTAGCCAGGCTGGAGAGCAGTGGCATGATCATGGCTCACTACAGCCTGAACCTCCTGGGATCAAGCAATCCTTCCACATTAGCCACCTGAGTAACTGGGATGATAGATGCAAGCTATCATGCCTGACTAATGTTTTATATATACTTTTTAGAGAGTGGGTCTCGCTATGTTGCCCAAGCTGGTATTGAACTCCTGGGCTCCAGTGATCCTCCTGCCTTGGCTTCCCAAAGTGCTGGGATTACAGGAGTAAGCTATCTTGCCTAGCCTTGACGTATATTTTTCTTTCTTTCTTTTTTTTTTTTTTTTTTGAGACAGGATCTCCCTCTGTCACCCAGGCTGGAGTACAGAGGCGCAATGATGGTTCACTGCAGCTTTGACCTCCGGGGCTCAAGCAATTCTCTTGTCTCAGCCTCCCAAGCAGCTGGGTGCCACCAAGCCCGGCTAATGGATATATTTCTTGATTATCTACAAACTTCTTCTCAAGCATTTTACTGGTATTTTATTCCTGCCAAATAAAATTTCACATTGATTCCAACATTTAAAACATGGATTATCTTAAGAAATAATAACAGGAATAATGTGGGGAAAGAAAAAAAAAATTCCCAAAATTCATTTGTAATAACTTGTAAACTTAGATTATAACTTAGTTAGCATTTCTGAGATGCCTATTTTCTTAGAAGAGTCATTATCAAATTATCCGCTATGATTAACACTAGTAACATAAATTTCTTTTTCTTTTTTGAGGTGGAGTCTCACTCTGTTGCCTAGGCTGGAGTGTAGTGGTATGATCTGGGCTCAATGCAATCTCCTGCTCCCGGGTTCAAGAGATTCTCCTGCCTCAGCCTCCAGAGTAGCTGGGATTACAGGCACCTGCCACCATGGCTGGCTAATTGTTGTATTTTTGGTAGAGATGGGGTTTCACCATGTTGGCCAGGCTGGTCTCAAACTCCTGACCTCAGCTGATCTGCCTGTCTTGGCTTCCCAAAGTGTCGGGATTATAGGAGTGAGCCACCATGAATTTCTAATTGGAAATTGAATGAAGGTCAAATACATTTCATTTATAAAAATAAGTTTGGCCAAAAGTATGTTGCTAGTAATATATCAAATGACAGTTTTGATAATTTGGAACGGTCTGTGAAATGGGTGCTTTAATTTAACAAATGCTTACTTAAACATCTACCATTGTAAAGCACCATGGCAAGAGCTGATCATGATTAATGCTTATAGCAAAATCCTTTTCATTTTAACAGTGTAGATCAAACAGGAATTATGCAAATTATGCATTTACAGAAATAAGAGTTGTCAAATACTCACCCCTTTATCTCTTGTTTTAGAATTGAATTTCACTGTTTTTAATCGGGCTCGTTCTTTCTTCTCAACTCTGTCAAAGTAAAGAATGTTATTTTTTAAACCAAACATATTTAAGAGTCTTACTAGAAATAACCAGAATTGATATCTTTATAACAGACATTTTTATACTCTAAAACCTTTAGGAGCCATCTAGATTTGCATCCCCAAATTAGAATTGCTGAAAAATGAAATGAAGGGCTCAATTAATTATGAAACAAAACCTGATGCTATAAAGTATCAATACATAGTACGTGTGTGTGTGTGTGTGTGTATAGATATAGATTCAGTTACAAAATTATAAGAAAGTGTGAGGCACCATTTCTGAGTTTAACCATTTTCCAAGTTTTGTTTTTTTAAGTATTAGCTTAGCATGAAGGATACACGCTAAAAATTAAGCTTGAAGAAGAGAAAGCAAATGTGGCAAATTGTTAAAATCGGTGAAAGTGGGAGAAGGATATGTGAGAAGGATATGTAGAGGTTCACTATACTACTTACTGCCTTTTTTGTCTTTCTATAGCTCTGAAACTTAATAATAAAAAGGTGGGAAATTTAAAACTTAAGCCAGAATTAGAATTAAATGACATTAGAATTAAATGACGCGCGTGTGTGTGTGTGTGTGTGTGTGTGTGTGTGTATGTCTTGTGTAAATATATAAATAACTTGTTACAGTGTATAAGAGTTTTAAAGTATTTTTGGAAGGATACATAAGAACTGCTAATCTTTACCCCTATGGAGGTAAAATGGGTGTTGTGAGAGGGAGCTTATAAAGCTTTTACATGTTTAAATTCTGAACTTTACCTATTCAATGTAAGCAAGCAAATAAACTATAATGAAACAAATTTTCATGTAGATTGTAACAATAATGTAAATCTTGCAAAATTTCATGTAAATTAAGCTTTCATAAATTCTTGAATTTCGACATAGCAATGATGTTAGTATATAACAGAAAAGCCTACCAAAACAAGCCTATGAATAAATGCATTTTATTTTTTCCTTATCGTCTCTCTATTCAATTTTACTATGGGTACAACAGGACCTTAGAACTCATGAATTTAAATTTTAAATTTAAGGCCAGGTGCAGCGGCTCACACCTCTAATCCCAGCACTTTGGGAGGCCGAAGTGGGTGGATCACGAGGTCAGAAGTTCGAGACCAGCCTGGCCAACATGGTGAAACCCCATCTCTACCCAAAATACAAAAATTAGCTAGGCATGGTGGCGGGTGCCTGTAATCCCAGCTACTCTGGAGGCTGAGGCAGAAGAATTGTTTGAGCCTGGAAGACGGAGGCTGCAGTGAGGCGAGATCACACCACTGCACTCTAGCCTGGGTGACAGAGCAAGACTCCATCTCAAAAAAAAAAAAAAAAAAAAAAAAATTAAAAACTTGTGATTTTTTACTATTTGAGAACAATTCTGAGGCTTCATGACATGAATAATTTATAACCTTGCCTAGGTGCTTATTAACAGCACCACAAAACCAGTATTTAGTGAGTGAGCATTTACAACTCTGTTTTCTAGTCATTATCTTGTTTAGTATAGTTCAGCAACTTAAATTATCTGTATTTGTAAATATTAGTCCTGAAAGAAAGCCAAAAATTGTAGGAATTACAATTCCTGTTATTTTAGAAGAGGTCTAAGAAAGATAGTTCTGTTTAAGAAAATGTACATTCAAGAACTAATGGCATAATTAGTTGTGGTTTCTTATTGTATTTTATGGGAGTAAGATTATATTCTGCAATGCTACTCATGAATTTGGAAATTGGCAGAGGTCTCAAGATATCTCTCTTACATTATTTCTTGCTTGAAAATACAATCTTACAGAATTTTGTACAAAATGAGAAAAAAAAATCTCTCCAATGAAGCCAGCAGTGTTTACTTGGGTGTAGGCACAAAAAGCCTTTGTAAGATATGAGACTCTTAAGTACTAAGACAATTTTGAGGAGCTCTGACCTTGATATTTAAGATGTAAAGTTTCTACTGACTCAACAAGGCATAGAGGAAGCATTTCCGAATTTAAAGCAGACTATGTTCTATTTCTGGAAAAAAGTTATGCTGATTGCTGCATTGCTAAAAGAGGATTTGCCATCAACTGTAAGATCTAGCCAAATAGTTGGATCATGCTAAATATATGGATCTAAGCCCCAAAATCATACTTATAAATCTTGATTGTAATTTAATACTACTACTTTTAAACTTCTAAAAATAAGTAAATAAATATTTATAAAGGTCTGGAAATAGTTACAAAATAGGTATAAATCTAACTAATTAATAAGAAAACAAGTTTATGACAGCATAATCTTGACTTAAAATGAACTAGTTATAATAAATATTTCTTTATTATCTCATTAACTATTTTTGCTGGCTATCTTACTACTTTAGAAAGCTCTTAAAGAAGAACTTCTAGACAATGATTTGGATGAACCAGATCTCATAAATAAGCTATCTTGGGGGAATTATGAAAGAACATTTTAATACCTTTCCCATGAAAACAGAGACATTCAACAGCACTTCATAGTCTTTAGAAGAGGTTCTCTAAGCTGGGACCATCCTTTGCGAAGAGAGCCTGTACTGAACCACTTTTGCTACATGGTAAGTATGCACCAATGAATCACTAAAACGAATCATTAGGGCTGGGTGCAGTGGCTCACACCTGTAACCCCAGAGCTGTGGGAGGCTGAGGTGAGGAAATCGCTTGAGGCCAGGAATTCGAGACTTGCCTGGGCAACATACCTAGAACCCATCTCTACAAAAACAAAACCAAAAAACTTAGCTTGGGTGCAGTGACATACATGCACCCCTAGTCCTAGCTACTAGGTGAGGTGGGAGGACAGCTTGTGCCCAGGAGTCCGAGGTTCATTGAGCTATAATCATGTCACTGTATTCCAACCTGGGCGACAGAGCAAGATCCTGTCTCTTTAAAAAAAAAAAAAAAAAAAAAAAATTCATCTACCTACCTATATATAATCATAAAAAGCAAAGAGGAAAGACTGGTGAACTGTACCAATACATGTAATTTAAGCAAGAAAAAAGGGAAGTGAAGCATATTACCAGACATTTCCAAAAATTTTGGCATGAAAGAATCAATTCATCAAAAACAAAAAGTTTAGGTCCTCTTTTCTGTCTACATGAACTGTAGACACTTTCAGTTTTCTCTGCACTGTTATATCTAAATGGCACACTGACCTAATATATATTTGTTCTGAGCAACTAGTAGCTTTAGATAAATTTCTGCTTGGCGGCATCATATATATACACACACATATATATGTGTGTATATGTATGGGCATATGTATACACATATATGTATATATTTTTCATTATACACAATTTATTATTTATATATACATTATATACATTTATATAATTATACAAAAATATTTATTTACATATACATTTATTATTTATTTATATATACATGTTATATACATATATTTTTTGAGTCTCAGTCTCGTTCTGTAGCCCAGGCTGGAGTGCAATGGCGTGGTCTTGGCTCACTTCAACTTCTGCATCCTGGTTCAAGCAATTCTCCTGTCTCAGCCTCCTGAGTAGCCAGGACTACAGGTGTGCACCTCCACGCCCAGCTAATTTTTGTATTTTTAGTAGAGACAGGGTTTCACCATGTTGGCCAGTCTGGTCTCAAACTCCTAACCTCAAACACCCACCTCAGCCTCCCAAAGTGCTGCATTATAAGCATGAGCCACCGTGCTCAGCCTAATTGTATATATTTAAGTTGCCCAACTTAATGATTATACATACACACACAAGTGAAATAATCACTAGTCAACCTAATTAACATAACCATTATCTCACCTGGTTACCTTTTTTCTGGTGGTAGGAACACTTAGGATAGACCCTCTTAGCAAATTTCAAGTACAGTACTATTACCTATGGTAGCCATGCTTATATGTAGGAGATCCAGAACTTTCTCATCTTGCATCGTGAACACTTTGTATCTCACCATTTCCCCATCCTCCTAACCCTGGTAATCACCATTCTCTCTCTGTATGACTTTGACTACTTTAGATTTCACATAGAAATGTGATCATACTAATTTTTGTCTTTCTGTGTCTGGCTTTTAAAAAAATTAGCATAATGTACTCCAGGCCCACCCATGTTGTCACAAATTAAAAGAAATTTTAAAGAACATCAATTATTTATGTTGTATCACATTCAAGTGGTAAGAAAAACAGACATACCTGCGTTTACTGGGAATCACTCCAACTTCATCACTCTCACCATCTGGTGTAACCTGCCTGGCTTGCCACCATTCATCATCAGAAGCATTAATAACATGGAGGATATCTCCAAATTTGAAGTTCAATCCCTGACTGGGAAGGCCACTGTCTTTAGTCTTGTCATAATCAAAAAGGGCTCTAGAGTCAGAAGAAAAAAGTCCTTAATTACTTGTTATAATATTAATCAACGTATCATAGGGTCCTGAAAGTATATATGAAGTATATGTAAAGAAACATACAGTTCTGAAAGAATATGTAATTTGGATAATCAAATATACCAGAGTAGGCCAAATAATGCTTAGTTCAATTCTGCACTACATGCAAGATGAGACAAAAAGAAACAGGAAAATCAACTTGTTATGAAAATACTGTATTATATTATCTGTTTCTTTCAATATCACAAGAAAAATTTAAAAAATGCTCTTGGATTGTAATCTAATGGCAACCTAAACTGAATTCTAAAATGAAGACAAATCCAGAGAGTCTGAAATTAATAAAGAAAAGTATTAAGATACAGTCTTTGCTTTAATTAGATACACATAGGAAAACAAATTCTCTGATAAATTTATCCCTTAGTTGTGGACTGTAAGACTAGATCAATATAGTGATTATTCTGCCAGTTAATTATTCCATTTGTTTACAATACTAGAGTTGATAGTTTCAGAGTCAATAACAATGATGAAAACTAACTATAGATGACTTCATCAGATGACAAATATTTTGGTAAAAGTAATAATTGCAAAGTTTTAAGAATATTTTAAAATTTGATAAAAATATTGTGGCCTACCACGTGATTAATTAATGTACAATATTTAAATAAATCAAATTCTTAAGTCCAAATAAGCTCTCCCGAGAGTATAAGAAATGATCACAACAATTACATTTATAATATAATTTATTCATTCTTTTGTTCTAATTTGGCAACTGGAAATTAGGATGCAAATTATAATATTTTTCACACTACCTAGCATTTCAGAACCTATCTATTTAAGTAAAACTCAAGAGGGGTGGAAGTACTTGATGGCTAAATAAATAAACTAGTAGTTAATGGTTTTTCAAATGAGTTGTTTGAAGTCCTTTCAGGGGCTAAAGGTGTTAGGGAAGGAGGGGGAATCAAAAGTAGGAAGGCTCACTTAAACATATATTCAAACACAGAGAAGACGAGGGTACAAATAAGCATAATATAAAATAGAAAATAAAGCACCTTTAGAGACAGTACAAATGTCAAGACATTCAGAAAAGGAGAATACATTCTTACATTATTATAAAAATTCATCTTTTGAATCACAAAATATAACTGTATTATTGCACAACAAAGGAAACCACCCACAATCTCTTATGTTAGCATTTTAATATTCTCTATTAATATATTTGATTCATAAAAAAGAAACCATGGAAAAATGTGAGTTATTAATCACATGTATTATAAGAGTACAATGAATATCTGTTAACCTACTATCATACTTAAGACTATCCACAAAACCTTTATCAGTAATTCACCTTCACCTGCGTATATTCCCTCTGATCCTGATTCCCTTGGATCAAGAGTTAACCACTATCAGAATGTAATCAACGTTCTTACAATATAATGTTTGTTATTTCTTTGACTCATTCTTTTTTTGTTGGTTTGGTTTTATCATATAATATGTGAGTGACTAAACAATATAATGTATGTTTTTACTTGTTTCAGACTTTTATAAAGAGGTATACTGTGGGTAGTTTTTTGTAGCCTTTTTTTTTTTTTGCTTTTGAAATTAAAAATACAATGACTAAAAAAACCCCACATGACTCAGGTGTGGTGGTGTGTGCCTGTAGTTCCAGCTACTTGGGAGGTTGAGGTGTGAGGATCCCCTGAGCCCAGGAGTCCAAGACAAGCCTAGCCAACAAAGCAAGACCCCATCTCAAAAAGAACTGCAAGACTTCTGATTAACCACAGCAGGCTGTGTCTATTTCTTTTCCAACCTGACTCATTAAAATGACAATAAAATAAGAAAAATACAAAACAGAAAAGACAATAGGGGAAGACAGATTTTGATATATTTTTAGATGATGCTAATTAAATTTAGCAGAATGAAAGAAGCTATAAATGGAGTGTCAGCAGAGAGGGTAATAGAAACAAGTTTTATTCCACAAGAACCCTGAAAATGGTCATACATTAGAAGTATACAGCAGTACCAAGGAAGGCAAGGATAAGTTACTGTACTAAAAACTTAAGTTCAAACACTGTATGTAGTGCTTAGACCACCCCCATCAAAGTTCCTTTTTCCATTCCCAAACCCAGAGAAGACCAGAGGTTTAGTCTCCAGATAAACTGATTTTGAAGAGCTGAATACTCTGAAACTTGGTAGAGAAGGGGAAGTGGCTGGACTGAAATGGATGAAAAGGACAATTCAAATACTGAAAATGGAAATTCTAGCAACTTGGTTTATACTATTGGCCAGAGATTAGGGATTCACATCTAGTGATATTTATACCAAAGAACAGAATCACATGGGACAGTAGAGGAAATGTAAGAGCCAATTTATCCCCTACTTTACCCCATTATCTTCTAGTTAAACCCATTATCTTCATTTCTCTATTTATAAGAATATAAAACAATGAAAGGAACACTGGATATTTAAAGAATGCCTTATATAAAACACTAAAGAAAAAACCCCAAGAAAACAGGATAGCTCAAAAAATAAAAGAGAAAGCAAAGAACACAAAAAACAGAAGAAAATCCAAGAGATACAGGAGATATGTCCACGAAAGAAACAGAAGATGAGGGAGCTCTTGGAAAATAAAACAGGATATCATACATTCCCACACATTCCAAATTCTCTACTGGGGAGAAGGCAAAAGAGAGTCACTTCAGACATGCTAAGACTCAAAAGGTACCTCCCACACACCTTTTGCAGGAATTTAATGTAGGATGTGCTCTAGGAAGGCTTGAGAAAGAAGAAAATGTGGCATCTAGGAAACATGTGACATAGTAGACAGCCAAAGGGAACAGAATAATGGCAAAGGGAAGTCCCAGTTGAGAGCTATACAGCAAGTTTACAGAGCAACCAGTCTAGACTGGAGCAGAAAAATGGAAAAAACCTGAACTGACAGACTGTATGTGTAACCACGTTTTCATCATGTGAAAAACTCTACAGTGGTTACTGGAAGATATAGAAAGATACTTAGTATTAAGTATATGGAAAACTAAATAAAAGGCGAGACAATTATTAAGTCCAGGAAAAATAAAAGTTTGCAGAAGAAAGAAGGTAGCTCATAGGGTACTACTTGACTGAGTCATGAAAGCTATTACATAGTCACATGACTCTAAAATCTATTAGTTTTATTAACAGAGATAGGCTATGTTTGGGTGATGATGATGAGACTGAATGAGTGGTTTGGTATTACAGAGAAAAGTTATCATCTACCATGGTAGTCAGACTGATGTAGAAAACTGGTAAAGTAGAAGATAGCAGTATATGCATGTTATTTAGAAATATGGAGGTGAAGGCTTCTTACTTAGAAATAAGGAGTTAAAGGAAGTTTGCTAGGAAAATAGAGAATGCTTGTTTCTATAGAAACTACAGGCTGGTGCAGGTGACAGTTTTCATTATAAGCCTTTTGATAATACATGATTTTAAAAAACAGAGGCTGGACACAGTAGCTCATGCCCGTAATCCTAGCACTTTGAGAGGCCAAGGTGGATGAGGCCCTTAAGCTCAAGAGTTTGAGACCAGCCTGGCCAACATGGCAAAACCCTGTCTCCATTACAAATACAAAAATTAGCCAGGCATGGTGGCACAAGCCTATAGTCCTAGCTACTCAGAGGGCTGAGGCAGGAGGATCGCTTGAACCCGGGAGGCTGGAGGCTACAGTGAGCTGAGACTGCACCACTGCACTGTAGGCTGGGTGGCGAGTGAGACCCCGTCTTCAAAAGAAAAAAAAATAGAGCATTACTTCTCTAAAAATGGTAAAAAGTGAAGATGATTTACTAAATGTACTTAAGATAAATATAACCTAATATGTTTTGATTTTTATGCCTTTGTAAATATTTAATCAAGCACAAATAAAAGGCAACACATGAATTATATTAAAATTAGGAAACGTGGATAAGCAAAAAGGAAGAAAATGTAAAAAACAGAGTATAAAAATCCATGTCGTTTTCCTTCTTTGAAGTATTTGTATATATAATTTTTTTTTTTTTTGAGACAGAGTTTCGCTCTTGTTACCCAGGCTGGAGTGCAATGGCGCGATCTCGGCTCACCGCAACCTCCGCCTCCTGGGTTCAGGCAATTCTCCTGCCTCAGCCTCCCGAGTAGCTGGAACTACAGGCATGCGCCACCATGCCCAGCTAATTTTTTTTTGTATGTTTAGTAGAGACGGGGTTTCACCATGTTGACCATGATGGTCTCAATCTCTTGACCTCGTGATCCACCCGCCTCGGCCTCCCAAAGTGCTGGGATTACAGGCTTGAGCCACCGCGCCTGGCCATATAATATATTTTTAATGACCTTGGAATGTAAGAGTTTAATAAGTACTGCTAGAATTAGCAAAAGGAGAAAAAAATCTGATGCATTTAAGATTTCCACATCATTGGTAGGGTTTTAAGTAGCAAGCAACTTACAGCAAAAGACAAAAGGGATAGAAAGAAGAAAAGTGAGACAAGTTTCTTTCATGATGTATCACACAGTAAGACTGATTATGAGAGGACAGTAAGTCATATCATATGTAAACAAGTACAGAGTACATGTTTGTGTGTAGAGATATACAGGTGTATAAGATACATGTCTATATATGTAACATATCTATCTCATCAGAAGGATAAATGAAACATATAAAGAACAGGTCACCCAGCAGTATCAGGAGGAATGAGATAATAATTTATAAAAAAATGGTTCAGATTACTTACAGTGCTAATGTTACAATAATAGTATAATAAAGTCATCAAAGCACTACTAAAAGTATACAGAATATAAATAAATTCAGATTTCTGCTTAATGTCTTATGAGCCAACAAAATGAAAAAACAAACCCAGTTTATATACTAATAGCATCCATTTATTAGACCTATGTTGCCACTTAACCTTTATATATTACAGAAAATTAACATATTTGCCTTCTCTCAAGTGTTAAAAAAATGTGTGTAGAAATTTTCTGAAATGCATTATTTACTGAGGCTATTCACATTTTAAACTATTATTTACATATGCTTTCTTTGTTACTATGGAAATTGCCAAGGCAAGTAAGTGTTACTTGAATGGAAAATATGTTAGAAAGGGATACAGGTTAAATCTAAGTATTAGATATAATAGTATCAAGCTTGTAGTCACTACTAACACATCAATCTAAAAACAATTTCTCGTCCATGGAAATTTCTTCCTTTATCCTATAATTATTATTCAAGGATTATATAACTTCCATTAATAAAATTATTAATACAATAATACTTCAATTCTTGAAAGACGCACTGTCAGAGAATCAATATGGAAAAACAACACTGATTCGCAATATATTTTCTTATGGTAAAACTAAGTAAGTTATAGTGAAAAACACAAAAGAATTTACATGCATGACTAATTAAGAGTTGCCATAATTAGAAGTAAAAAAAATTTACCTGACATAGAGGGATCGCTTCTGGCTAGTTCGAAGAGAACCTGACCCTGAACTAATACTACTATTCATCATCTGCTCCCGTAAATCATGTATTTTAGCTTCAAAACGACTGTATTCTGATGGAAGAGAAAGAGAAATAAATTTATAGATTTTCAAATAAGTTATTTGACTATAACGTGTTAAATACGCAAACTGTCCTATAATTGATTAAATGTGGTTAGAACCTTAATATAGTAATATGCATAAAATGTCCAACACACAAATATCAAAAACAATTAGTAATAATCTAAATGTACCATAAATTAGAACTGGCTGGGTTAGAATTTTTTTATGTGCTCTTTTAAAGTTTATACCACATTTAATCAATTAAATGACAATTTCCATGCAGCAGACAGCAATAATCTTATATTACTGTTGAATGTAAGTGTAAATTTAAAAAATCAGGATATATTCTAATTTTTATGTTAAAAAAGAAATCTGCAATAATAATTAATATACTAGATGCTTTAATTATTGACTTTTCCCCCTTGAGACAATCAGTTCATTTTATATACTTAAATACAGAACTTGTGCAGGGTCAACATTAAAGGGAAAAATATGCCTTAACAACTCACAAATGAAATTTATTTTAACTCATTTTATAATTTATAAATTGTCAAAATTCAAAAGACACAAAAACAGTCTGAAGTGACATTCATGAATATTTTCATTTAAAATACAAAAATGTGATTTTGAAGATGGATGATTTTAAACTATATATTTAAAACTGTTAAGTCTATTAATAACCTGTTAACAAAAGTTTAAGCAGCACTTTTTCAAAAATATTGCAGTCACATGGTTATAAACATGTTTTTTTTTACCCCTCTATTTATAACAAACAAATTGCAGACAATTAGGTCATATCAAATCTGAGTTTCTTATAAAGCCTGTCTTACAACAAACAACTTCTCTGGGAGTTTGTACAGATTAAGATGACAGAGTAAGTAATAAGCATGATTACTGCTGAGTTACTCTTCCTTCTACCATAATCCTCAAGTTTGTTTTATGGATAATAAGCTCGATTGAAGTAACAATTCATCAACAAGCTTAGAAACATTTAAAATTCCACATTAATATCTAATGAAATACTTTACTATCCTTTCAAAAATATAATAAAACAAAATAAAAACATAAATAGCCTTAATAGTAGAATGTATCCATTATAATTCAATAATTATCAATCCATGGCAACTTGTCTTTAGTACGTGCAGACATAGTTAAATTACAGATTGATGGAGATGTTAATAAAAATGCGTAAGTACATCATAAGTTTAGAAAAACTAGGACCACTGGGTTTTTGCTTAATCTCTTCTATTTCAGTGTTGTATCTGCTTTGCTGGATATGAATAATTCTGGTTCTCAAGATAGTGGAGAGAGCAGAATAAAAGTATCGCATAATGACTTACTTGTTTTATCCAATATTATATTAGCAACAGTGAATTATACCACTAACATTACCACTGTGATATCATGTTTTGATTACTGTAAACAGTTAACTATTTCCTGTAGTTTTTTTATCCTTAGGCTATTGCTAGAGATATACAGTTGAATTATTTTTTTCTTATTTTTAAAAACAGGGTCCTGCTTTGTTGCCCAGACTGGACTGCAGTGGCACAATCATAGGTCACTGCAGCCTTGAGCTCCTGGGCTCAAGCAATCCCGCCTCAGCCTTCCAAGCTGCTGAGACCATAGTGTGCACGAACATGCTTGGCTAATTTTTAAAGAATATTTTTGGTACAGATGACATCTTGCTATGTTGTCCAGGCTAGTCTCGAACTCCTGGCCTCAAGCAATCCTCTGGTTATGGCCTCTCACAGCCCTGGGTCACAGGTGTGAACCACTGTACCTGGCCAATTACCATTTTAAAATTACTTGGAATAGTTCCTTCCTAAGTATTACTGTTGCCAAGTGGATACACATTTAGATTCATTTGTACTCTATTTTCAACTTCAATTTGCCTTTAAAATTTTCCATGGATTTTATAAGTAGGTAAAATAACTCCACAGTCAAATCTGTAAAACACAGATGTTTAAAAAGTCCAGCTTCTATCCCTTTTTCTCATCCCATTCCGTCCTGATCCTTATATGTAAACATTTAAAGAAAGGCTTATTTTTCCATTTTTAACAATATAAAGATATACACAAACATGCAAATACATTTATTCCATATTTTATATCTGTGTGTGTATATATATATATGCATATACACACACACACACACACACACACACACACACACACACACACACAAACAGATACATTTCTTTTGAGACGGAGTCTCGCTGTTACCAGGCTGGAGTACAGTGGCATGATCTTGGCTCACTGCAATCTGCGCCTCCTGGGTTCAAGTGATTCTACTGGACTACTGGCGCATGCCTCCATGCCCAGCTAATTTCTGTATTTTTAGTAGAGACGGGGTTTCACCATGTTGGCCAGGATGGTCTGGAACTCCTGATTTGTGGTCTGCCTGCCTCAGCCTCCTAAAGTGTTGGGATTACAGATGCGTGCCACTGCGCCCGGCCAACATTTCTCTTCTTTCTTAAAACAGTAGAATACATATTTCTCTGCTTTGTTTTTTTTAGTTAATAGTAAGTATATCCAGATCACTGCACAATAATATATACAGATGTCATTCATGCTTTTTTTTTTAACAGCTGTATGTAGTCCTTCGTTTTTAACCTTTACTTCTTTGTCATAAGTATGATTCATATATATTGCATAGGGTTAAATTATGCTTTATTAGGAAGCCTAGAAATCGTTTGCTTTGATGAGCTAACTTCTGAAATGATTCAAATTGTTTAATCTCAGCTCTATTCTTACTATCCTGTCTTATTTATTCAAGCTTTTAACATAAATAAACCAGTGGCAGATTATATTTTCCAAAGATGCCCACATCCCACATGCTCTTGTATACTGTGACCATGCCATTTCCTCATCAAGAGCAGAATCTAATTTGCCTCTCCTGGAATTTGGGTTAGTGCTTTGAGTCATTTGTATACCAAAAAATGTGAAGTAATCCTGTGTGACTTTCAAAGTCAGATTAGAAGAGGCTATGAAGCTTCCATAACACTTCTGTAATGCTTGTTCAGATACCATGTAACAAGACTAACTACTCTAAAACCACCATACTGCAGAGGTCACATGATGGTGCTCTTAGCCCAAACTTCCAGCCAGCACCACCAATGCATAAGGCAAAGGGAGCAAAGCCAAACTGGGCCCTCCAAAGCCGCTCCGTCACCACCTAAGTCCCACTAAGTGACCTCAGTTGATGCCAGAAGGAAAACAAGAACCATCTCACCAAAATCCTGCCTGAATTCCTAACTTACAAAATCTATTAAAAGGGTGTTATAATCTGTTAAGCTTCGGGTAGTATCTTATGAAGCAGCAGTAACTGGAGCACAGCCTCACTATACGGTTTATTTGTTCTTTTAAGTGTGTGTGCATAAAAAATCAGACACATTTGTCCTTTTGTTCTAATGTCAAACTTTTGTTTGGCTTTTGTCTTTTGGTCTCCTCCTACAAGCAATCATCCCAGATCTGGCTGGAAATATTATCCTTTTATATCCAGTTAAGAAGCTTTAAAGCAATCAGTTAAATTGCTTTAAAGCAACTAGGAAGCTTATTCTGTTTTCACATTATCTTCAAATTCTGCCCTCATTTTCTTCTAAAAACTGTACCATATCAAAATTGTCAGACCACATAGCCTTTTCATATTATACACTCTCTTCCTTATAATCATCTTCATTAATGCTAATACTAGTCCTTATGTCAGTATCACTCCTATTATTTTGGATGTCCGAAGTTTGTTCTCTCTCCCCAGGAAGTGTTTATACAAACATTAACACTCTAATTCTTTGTTGATACATTTGATTCCAGCCTTTATATGTGAAAGTCTGTTTGATTCAGTTTCTTTCTTTGATTCTTTGAGTATGTTCACTCCATTGTCTTCTATACATTGAGAACAACCGAATTTTCTTCAGTTTTCTTGGTGGGGGAGGGGGAGCGGAATTCCAGAGATATTTTCCTTTAAATTCTAATAATTTTATTATGGCGTTTTGCTCTGTAGTTGTTTGTATGGCATTTTGCTCTGTAGTCTGTTTCAATTTGAAACAACTTTTTAAAATTTTAGAACAGATTTCATTTATGTATTTTTCTAGCATTGTTTTGGATTTCTTCCTAGGAGACTCCCATTATGTGCATGTTGAATATTCTTTGCCTACCTTTTGTATCTGCCACTTTCAAATCTTTTGTTTCTTTCTTCTAATATTTTTTTAAAGACTAAAGCAGTCATAAACTGTTTTTCCTGAACCACCTGACAGCAATTTGCCTTCTTGATGTCTTATCACCTCTAAATACTTCAGTATTTCCTACAAATATTTTCCTATATAACTACAAAACCATCAAAATCAAAGTAACATTAATACATTACTACCATCTAATGCTCAGATCCTAATGAAGAGTCACCAATAATGTTCTTTATAGAAAAAGGATGCAATTCAAAATCATTTGTTGCATTTAGTTGTCATATCTTTTTAGTCGCTTTGAGTCACAGCAGTTTCTCAGTCTTTTCTTGACTTTGAGATCTTAATACTGTTAGAGATTACAAGTCAACTGTTTTGCAGAACATCTCTCAATTTTGGTTTGCCGTAAGTTTCCATACAATTAAACTGAGGTTATCCAACTGTGGCAGGAATATCACAGACGTTATGTTCTACCCAATACACCTGTATCAGGTGGTACACAATTTTGATTTGTCCCATTACCAACGTTATTAACTTTAATCACTTGATTAAAATTGTGTCTGCGAGGTTTCTCCACTATAAAGTTACTTTTCCCTTTTGCAAATAAGTTACTGAAACTGTTTACAGTTCTCCATTCTCATCCAACTTTCAATTAATTCATTTACTTATATTAGTAAAAACTCATTTCCTACTTTATTCAGTGGGTTATAATCAGCCATTATTATCACCAATTGAAGGTTGAAATTGTTCCTGATTTGGCCAGTAAGAGTCTCTTGAAGTTAGATTCTGTGTCCATTTGCCCTGTCTCCATCATTCCTCGAGTACTTTCTTGCTTTC